TCTGTCCAAGCACTCCTGCAACAGTGGACCGCATTCTGGGGTACAAAACAAGTCCCAGCGAAGATGAGGGGGTTTGAGTTGTACAAAACATAGCCTCTGGCCACAGCAGAATGAAATGAGAAGTAAACAACAGAAATGTGTCGATAGCTTTCTGTTGCTGTATCTTGAATAGAATGGAAATGAACAACAATAAGAAAAAGACAGTCACAATGCATGGGGCGCTGCTGATGTGGCACTTAGCGGGAGATGAGCACCCGGAAACCACAGAAAGGGAGAGGGGTTGGCACGGCTGATTAGCTTCAGCTTTCAAGGCAGAGCTCGAAGAAGAGCAGCGAGGAGAGCCCAGCGTTAGCAGAGCAGAGAGGGAGATAAAGATGAGAGCGGGAATTAGTAACACGGGGGAAAATAAACCAAAGGCAGTTCTTAAAGGAGACCAACAAAAGTGACAGAGCTATAACCAGACAAATCAGAACGAGGGGAAAGACGCAACTTGACCCACATGGAAATCGGTGTGTTTACATCACCGCAGGTTCCACTTGTACTAAAAGAACAACATGTGAGTATTCCAAACAACTTCAAGCCAATGAATTTGACAACCTTTCTGAAAAAATGTAATTTTAAAAAGTTTTTCTAAATGAGCCAGATTCAGTTCCGGCTACTTAGGAGGACTGCTCGAGTCCAGGAGATTGAGAGCAGCCTGGACAACAGCAAGAGCAAAGCTCAAAGATTACAAAAGCACATAAAGGTTTTGGCCTGGGGATTGAGCTCAGTGGTGCTGTCTGCCTCGAAAGCTCAAGGCCCTGAGTTTGAGCCCTGATACCAAAAAAAAAGTTTAATAAAGTAAATAATTAAAAGTGAATAAAAATATAAATCTAAATAAACAAATAAAAAGACATGCACAGATCAAGATAAAATACTAGAAAGTCACATATCTGACAGAGGATTTGTATCTAGACTGGATAAAGAACTGCCACTCAGCAACAATAATCCAAACCCACCCAACAGCAGCCGGAAGCTGAAGGGCATGGGCGGAGCCCCAGGCACAGGGCTCCAAGGCCTGAGTGGACTACGCTTCCTCCCTGAGGGTGCAGTGGGCGGAGGTGGCTTCTGGGCAGACATCTGACTGCCCAGCCGTGGGTCTCAGGCAGCACCTCAGGGAGGAGGGCGCCCACGCGAATGGAATCCAGGGTGAGGAGAATCACACAACCTTTGTGGAGGAGACGCCAGTGTCAGGGAAGCCCTGAGGGTGACCTCTGAGGGGCAGGTGGACTGCAGCAGGGCAGTCTGGGAGCACTCTGCCCTGCCTCTAGTTGTAGTTATCCTGTGAAGAGAAAACCGTCCTTTGAGTCTGTCCTGAAAGCACGCAGTGTTGGAAGAGCTGTTCCCACGAGGAAGACAGGACGATGCACATGCACGGGCGGGCGGGCGGGAAAGCACACTCGAAGCCTCAGCCTCAGCCCGGGAAGCGCGGCCTCCCTCCCTCTTTTTTCCTGTCTTTCTTTCATTCTGAGAATTGAAACTCAGGCCTTCACACAGAGCTACTTTCCCAGCTTTTTTGCTAATTTTTAATTATGAGACAGGATCTCACTAAGTCACTAAGTTACCCCAGCTGGACTCAGACTTTGGATTCTCCTCCCTCAGCCTCCCAGACAGCTGGGATTACCGGTGTGCACCATGCCTGGCTTGCTTGGCTGCTTCCTGAGTGAAACCTGGACTTCCTGCACAGCTCTGCATCCCTGCTGTGGACCTTACCAAAGGCGGTGACCTCGCAGCGCACGGATGTCCACAGCTCAGGCCACCTGGTGTGGCGGCCCCTGAGGGTGCCAGCCAGGCGGCCGGGGTTAGGGTCCACACAGCAACAGAGGCGCCACTGGCCACGCCTGCAGTCCTGAGCTTCTCCTGCAGTGGTGTCACGCTTGCCCGTAAAGCACTAGAGTGAATAGACTGCAATCACAGGCGCGGCTGGGAGGTGCCACGTGGGTGCCAGGCCCTGGGATGATGCGCTCGGGCTTGGCCTGTACGCGTCACGCGCTGTCCTGCGCCAGGCACCTGCCAAGGTGTCCCAGCCGTCAGCCTTCGGATGCTCTCCCGGCCTCACCCTGGGCCGAGGGTCCCTCCGTGCGGCCACCCAGAGCCCTTTCCAGAGGGCGGGGAGGTTCAGCCAGACTGGGCGTGGGGGCTGCCCGCCCGGCTGCAGGGCGTGCGGGGCTCCGGGGTGCCTGCGTGCTGTCTGGCTCTAGCACCTGGCTGCTGGGGCACCAGGCCTGGGCACCGCTCTGTCTCTGACTCTGTCTCTGCCTTGGTTCCTCTCCACACCTCCCCAGCTGGCCTGGCATCACATTTATGCTAATTTCATAAAAATAACCCAGGGGATTTCCTGTTTTCCTCCATTCCAAGAGCGTTCTAAATATCGTGGGAATTATCTGTTGCTTGACTATTTGAGCGATCCCATCTGTGAGTTCTTAGACATCGTTCTCAGTTTGTTTTACATTCTTTTGGAAATGCATTTTGCTCAAGGCCCTGGGAGCGAGTCGGGAGTGTGCTGCATCCATGTCCTTCCAGCCGTGGGTCATTTCCCTGCCGTGGGGTTCTCCAACTTGCTTCGTCGTCTCTCACTGAGCCCTGCCTGCCTGTTCTGGGGCTGACTGCCGGGCCTTCCTGAGGGACCCCTCTCCTCACAGGGCAACTCTCCTGTAGGTTCCTGGAGAGGCACGGCGTGCTGCCACCTGTGTCACCTCACTGCCCACAGGGACCTCACAGCCTGTGGCTGGGCCGCGGGTCACAGACTTGCCCTTACTTGAGAGCCATGGGGGCCATCGCTGTGGCCCAACATGTTCCTGAGAGATGGGACCCTAAGTCACTCGAGCGTGTATTTCTGTCTATTATGACAGAGAACAAAACATCACCCTTTTAACTAGTTTTAAAGTGCACGGGTTCATGGCAGCAGACAGCTTGCCCGTGCTATTGGGCCCGTGTCTCCTTCCAGAGGGTCCCTCTCTGTCCCCATGGGACGCCACCCCGTTCCTTACCAACCTGGCGGGCACTGCCCACCCATCTGTGAGTCTGACCAGGCGAGCACCTGTCCTCTTCATTGGGCACCTCCCCTCCCCTCTTCCCTCCTCTGCTGGGTCCCCAGCCTCTCCTCAGGTGCCAGGCCTGTGAGGGCCACCCTTGTCTGCAGGGTGGTGCACAGTGGTTTCCTCCTCTCGGCCTTGAGGACAGCGCTGCTGTGAGCACAGTGTGCAGGTGAGTTCCTGTTCCAGCTCTGCCGTATCTGTGCCAGGGGTGGGGCAGCTGGGTCTCACGATGACACCACGTGACAGAAAGAAAGCAAGAAAGCCTCTGCCTAAGAGAGACAGAGGGGGACCGGAAGTGGGCTGCCCACCAACACTTTTTTTGTAGTAGCCATTTTACTGGTGTGAGGTGGTACCGCAGTGTAGTGTAGCCTCTGCGTGTGCATGTATGTATGAGTGCGTGGCAGGGATACCAGGGAGTGAACACAAGGCCTTTGGTCTGAGCCCCATCCCTACTCTTTTTTATTTTTTATGTTGAGCTGGGGTCTTGATAAGTTCCCCAGAGTGGCCTCAAATTTGAGATCCTCCTGCCTCAGCCTCCCAAGTAGCTGGGATCAAAGTGGACTAACGTGATTGCTCTGTGTGAGCATTCTGTGAGCATGGAAGACACACACGCCGTCTGTTTAGAGTGCTGGCTGCAGCCCTCATCCTCCTCCAGGGCCCTGCCTTGGCTGTGCTGTGGCAGCTGTGAGCATGCTGGGGCTGCTGCTGAAACAGACAGGGCCGCGCATCGGCGGAGAGGAGGCAGGATCCACATGTGCCGGCCTCCACCATGCCCTGCACTCAGAACCTCTCCAGGCTCCCCGCCGGCCTGCTGCCAGCCACTGCCCCAGCTCGGACCCAGGAGGGCACGTTTCCACAGCCACCGACGACAAGGGGCAGGCTGGCTCCAAGCGGGACAGCTGCCATGACCAGTAGGGTCCTGGAAGCCCGTCCCCAGGCCAAGGCGGAGTGGGGGACGCTGACCCCGTCAGCAACACGATGGCCTTTGTCTCCCCGCACTTGAGATGGTTCCAGGCAGCTGGGGCATCAGGGCAGGCGAGCGCGTGGTGAAGACAGGGTTCTTTTCCATACGCAGCCCACAGAGGCAGGGTGCTCTCTTCTGGGTGCCGAGGGGAGGGAGCCCAGCCTACCCTCAGGCTCCAGGTCCAGCGCCACACAGAGCCGCTCGGAGTGCTGCACCTGGGCAGAGACCACTGTGCACGGCTGCTGGGTTCCGGGCCCGTACGGGTGGTGTGAGCCGCCCACTCCTCTCCCAGGGGTGGTTCACACCAAGCGCGGGTCTCTGGTCTCCTCCAGTGTGGCACTGGTGCCTGGCAAGGCCAAGGCATCATGGGGTGGCTGGTGGGGCACCTGGCCTGGGTGCAGCGGCTGGGTGGCTCCCTGCTTCTGTGCCCAGTGGGCAGGGGCCAATCCTGGGCCGATCCCGGTGCTGCCCATGTCTGGTTCTGTGCTGCTCCACTCTGCTGCTCTGCTCAGAGGGCCAGGGCTCAGGCACTGCTGGGGAGGCCAAATCAAACGTTTCTGTCCTGTGGGGGCTGAGTGAGGAGCTCTCAGCCGGAAGGCCTTGTGCCAGCCACAGGCAGTGTCTGCCCAGCCAAGGCTGTGGCGGCCCTGGCCGAAGCTGTCCTGCCATGGACCTGTGCCCCCTGCACCCTGGCCATGGGCTGCACGGGGAAGTGACACACAGGCCTGGGAAGATGATGACAGCCACATCTTCCAGTGCAAGTCACAGTTACACGCAGCTGCTGCCCAAGTGTGCACCCACACGTGGACCCACGGCCACCCACACGCACAGCCTCACGTGCTGCAGCTCGCGCCACCGCCGAGGCCCTTCCCTTGAGAGGGGTTGGCACCAGACCCGGGACTCGGGGGAGGGCCAGATGGGAGGGTCCCAGCTCAGCGCTGCCTCTGCCCTGTCCCCAGGAGCCACCAAGGACATGGGGAAGATGCTGGGGGCTGATGAGGAGAAGGACCCCGATGCTGCCAAGAAGGAGGAGGAGCGCCAGGAAGCACTGCGGCAGGCGGAGGAGGAGCGCAAGGCCAAGTACGCCAAGATGGAGGCTGAGCGTGAGGCCATGCGGCAGGGCATCCGCGACAAGGTGGGCGCCAGGCAGGCGAGGGCAGGCTGCCTCCCTCCTCAGGCCCGCCTTGGGGCAATCCCAGGTGGGAGGGGACAGGCCCACTGCAGTGCCCCTGCATCCCTATCTGTTGCTCACGAGGGGGCGGGCACTTCCTGCTCCTGCAGTGGGGCTGGCCTGTCTTGGGGCCCCAGGGCCCTGACCAAGAGGGAGGTGCTGTGGGAAGCAATGGCCCGGGCACCAGGTGGCCTGGCCAGGATTTGCTCCCGTGGCTCAGAGTGTGGGGTCAAGCACCCAGAGGGGGCCAGTTCCTCTGTAACTGGCAGAATGGGTGGGCGGCTGTGTACTCTGGGTACTGAAGCTGGGTGCAGTCACCTGGCATCGGGGACCCTGGCTCAGGTGGAGCTGGCTTTTGACTCTGGAGACAGCCTGGTCCCATCCCTGGCCAAATGGCCTGGACTCTCAGGTTCAGCCCAAGCAGCCTTGGTTACATCTATGTCCCATCTGCGTCCCCAGCACCACTGCCCTGGTGGCTCAGCCCTGCAGGGGCCAGGCCTCGCTGACCTACACCCTCCAGATGCCTCCACGTGGCAGGAGTGGCATCTGCGCCCTGGCTAGAGGGAGGCTGGCAGGGCCTGACCTGCTTTCTGCTGCCTCTCCCAGCCCATGCAGAGCCCATAGGACCCTGGGCACAGGGACTCCCTCCCTCCAGACCTGGACCCGACCCCCAGCCCCCTTACTCCACTGGGCCATGATGCTGTCCTCGGCATCGGGCGACATAGTGGCTTTTGCCAGCTCTACTCTGCCCCGGTAGCCTCAAGGAGACCCCACACAGCTCTTCGGTCGTGGGGCGGGGGGATGGTGCCCTGCGATCCGGGGTGGAGGTGGCCCTTGCTCCCCCTATGTCCAGAGACACCCTGAACCCCCAGGGAGCGGACAGCTACCCCCGAGGGGGAGGGGCCATGGGGACACCTCTGGGACACCCCTCTAGTAGCCTGCATTCTGTGCGCTTGCAACCCCAAATGCAGGCCCCCCCGCCCTGCTCAGGTGGCTTCTTGAACCTGAAGCTCAGGACTCCCAGGACCCTGGGGGCCAGCGGGGTTTGCTGGCAGTGGCTCTGGTCTTTCCAGGCCCCAGGCTTCCCCCACTCTCTCTAGGAGGGCGGGGCAGGGTGGGCATGGAGGTGCCAAGGCCAGGTGCCTCCCCGCTGAAGTTCGTCCCGGGTTCCTTGTCCCCGGGTTCCGGAGCCTGGGGATCTCCCTCCTGTGGCTTCCAGCTCTGGGCGCATCTGTGGGGCAACACACCCAGCTGGCCCATGCTGAGTCTGACTGTTCTTTCTGCACCTTGGAAGAGGCTTTCATTGGGTTTAGGGTCGCCTCGCCCAGGATGATCTCATCTCCCTACTGGGCTTAGTGACATCTATGAAGACCCTGTTTCCAAACACAGTCACGCTCAAAGTTCAAGGTGACACGCTGCACCCACTGCAGAGGGACCCTGGGGACAGGCGGGCAGGAGACACAGGTGGCAGGAGGGGCCTGGTGTCTTGCTGTGCTGCTGAGGCTGCCTCTGGGGAGGGTGCAGGGCCGTGGTCCTGGCGAGGATGCGTCCCGGCCACCGTGAGGGAGCCTGGCCGGCCTGGGTGGAGGACTGGGGGCAGGCCCGCCCCGCAGGGAGCCCCTGCCCTCTACCTGGGGCGGCCCAGCGCCAGCTTCGGGTGCCCTCTCCCCGCAGTACGGCATCAAGAAGAGGGAGGAGCGCGAAGCCGAGGCCCAGGCGGCCATGGAGGCCAGCTCGGAGGGCAGCCTGACACGGCCCAAAAAGGCCGTCCCGCCGGGCTGCGGCGAGGAGCCAGAAGGGGCGGACGAGAGCATCCTGGACACGGTCATCAGGTACCTGCCCGGGCCGCTGCAGGACATGCTCAAGAAGTGACGGGCTGGACAGCCGGGAGCCGGAGCCCCGCTGCCCTGTAGACCCCTCGGAGGCCCCCAGGGCACAGGAGCAGCTCGGCCCCTCCCCACTATAAGCCATAGCCCTAGGCCCACCCCGCCCGGGCCCTCACGCACACCCCTGCCAGCCCTGCCGAGGCCGAGGTGGTCACAGCCCATCTCATGCTGGCCACACCCCACTGCGCTCGCTTCCCCCACCCCCAGCAGCCCGAGCTCACCCCAGGGCCAGCCCCTCGCCCACCCTGGGCTTGGCCCATGCATCACGGGCACCCACGGGGCTCAAACTCAGGAGCACAGCCATAGTCGGGGGTGGGTGTCTGGACCGGGGCAGCAGGGGCGCCTGACCCACCACACGGGACCTGGGTTGCTGGGCCTGAGGGACCCTCTTCTGTCTTCCTGTCGGCGCTGACCACACGACCCCACCCAGGCCTCGCTCTCTGTGTCCAAGGGTCTCTTCCTGTCCCTCCCTCCCTGCTCTGCAAGGCACCTGAGCCTCTTAGGAATGCCACGGCCTGTTCCCATCTCAACCAGGGGAAACAAAGAAACAGGTCTGGGCTTCTCAGACAGGCCTGCAGGGCACACTCAGATCTGCCTCTCCCTGGTGCCTGCTGGTTCCCTGAGGGGCTCCGGCCCTCATCCAGGGACACCCACACCCCAGCGCCTGGGAGGCCTGAGAAAACCAGGGGAGACAGAGGCGGGAAAGAGACCTCAACTGTCCCTGCCCTCCCTCCACAGTGCTGTGCACTGTTCTTGGCAGGCGGATGTGAGCCCCAGGGTAGGGGCTGAGGGGCTTCCTGCACCCAAACCAACAGCCCCCTGAGAGACTTGGCAGCAAGACCCCAGTGCCCTGCGACCTGCCCTCCTGTGCCCCTTTGCCTCCACCCCTGTTTAATTTGCATCACAATATGTTGAATCTCAGGTAAATGAGGTCTTCGGTATTTGATGAGTTTTATCTTGACCAGGAACCCTGTTGGCTTGGCCTGGGCCCTGGCGCTCCCTGCCCACATCAAAACTGCATTCAGTGTCCACAGGTGGGGGCCAGGGCTGTGCGTGACACTGACCTTCATGACCTTACATAGCTCTTAGAGAAGCCATATCAATTAGACTGCAGTACTAACCACAAACACCCTCGTCCAGAGGCGAAGCACGCCGCCAGTGCCAGTGCCCTGCTCGTCCAGTCCTCTGCTCCTCCTGGGTCCATGTCTGTTTAAAATGCTTGTTTCCACGTGTTGAAAAGCCAGCTCCAAGCAGCCTGGGTGTTCTCTCGTGTCAACCCCCGTATCCCATGGCCAGTGCATGGGTGCCCAGGGCCGCTGAGCTTGGCGAGACCATGGGTGTCACTGCGTCTGTCCTTGCACCTGCACCTCCTCCTGCATGTCGGAGGCCCTTGTGTGTTCTCTCTGGATAGAATCACAGCCAATAAATAGTGATTTCACACCGTGTGGCCGTCCATCCAAGACCCCACTTCAGCTGGGTGATGCCTTCCTGCCATCAGGTAGAAGGTACCTCCTCTTGCTAGGGCAACCCCTGAGGGTCCCCAAGGTCTGACACATCCTGCTGAGGGCGAGCCCTGCCAGTCATCCCCAACTGGAAGGAGACCTGTCCTTCGGAGCCTGGGATAGCCCTGGGCGTTCAGACCTGGGGGAGCTTGGGGTCCAAGCTTACACTGCTGTGTCCAGCCCAGTCCTGAGGGTCCCTCTCCTCTGTAGCTCTGGGTCCCACATTCTTCAGGGCTGGGGCTGAGACCAGATGACACCGAACCCCCACCTGCCTCCTCTCAGCCCATCCTGAGGTGCTGTGGCCACTGGTGTCCCCGCAAAGGCCTTGACATCCCTCTTGGGGGCCGTCTCCAGTGAGGCAGCATATCTGGGTGTCCTGTGACCTTCCAGCAAGATTGGTCCAATCTCAGTAGGCAGAAAGGTTATGTGTCCCCCACCCGTGCTGGGGTCTCCCTGGGTGCAGGAGGCTCCTGAGAGTGAATCCTCTCCTCCAGCCCAGAACGATGTCTCCCACACCTGCCGCCCCACCCTGGCCTTCTGGGGAATGTGGGCCCAGGGTGGGGCACTGTTGACCCATCCAGGGGACGGCCCCCTACAGAAGGGACACAGCTGTCCTTCCCACCCACACCCACATGTCAGTCGGGTCTGGACAGCATCTCTGCAGCTTTGGTTGCTGTACACGGCCCCCCCCCCCCATGGCTGCCCATAAGGGCACCCAAGTTCACCCTCCACTAACCTAACACCGTGTCCCCAGCCCTCAGCCCTGCCTAGATCCCTCCTGAGCCTGCACAGTGACCTGGATGTGCTGGTTGAGCCGGGGGACTGGTCCTACAGCAATTGATGGTCAGATCTTAGCCCCAGAATCTGGGGTTTGAAGCCTCCAAGTAAACACTGGAGCCAGACCCTGGGACAGTCCAGGTCCCTTCTGCACCGATCTCTCCGGCGATGGGAGGCAAGGTAAATCCGTACTGTCAGAAGCAGCGGTCTCCACTTTGGAGGAAAATGGCCAGGGTAAGAGGGCAGAGAGCAATGCTGAGGGCCGCTGCTTCCTGCGTGGTCTGGGGACCCCAAGGGGAGGGAGCTGGTGTTCAGGGGAAGGTGGCATCCGGCGCAGTGACAGCAGGGGTTGCTCGGTGTCGCTCACCTGGCCGCCTCCGCAGTCCTCGCGGCTCGCATCCCACGTAGCAAAGGGTTGACCCCCACGCCAGGAAGGCGCCTTGGCTCCCAGGGCGGATCAGGCCCCTCCGGGACACCGCGGGAGGCAGAGCCGCTCACCCAGCCATCCGGCCCCCGGGGCACGCTAAACGGCGCCGCAATTAAGGACCGTTTTGTCCAGATCTGCTAATCCGCAGCGAGACAAACCCTGCTGTCCCCGCGGAGCCACCAGGGCCGGAACCCTGGGTCTGGGCCACCTGTCCACACCATCTGGACCCCGAAGGAGCGCCGGGGCGGAGAGGACGCAGGGCCTGACACGCCCCGTGCCTCGCAGCGTCAGCGCCGACCCGACTCCTCCCACCCTCCGACCGAACGGGCCGCCGCGATTGGCTCCGAGGTCACGTGCAAAAGCGCGCATGGCCAATCAGAGCAAAGAGACGCCATTGAGGGCGGACCCGCGGCCTCTCGCCTGCCCCTCCTCCTTGGCCGCCTTCCACGGACTCCGTCCGGGACGGGGTTTCTTACGCCGAACCCTCGGGACCCACGCTCTCAGAAGCATCGCCTCGCGCGCCCCCTCTTCTCCGGCCCACTGTCCTCTGGCCCCGTTCCACTGACTCCCATAGCTGACCACGGCCCTCCAGTCCTACCCTCCACCCTGGCCACGCCTTGCATTTGACTTGGCCCCACCCTCCAGCCCGCTCTTGGCCCCTCCCCTCCCTCGGGCCCCGCCCACTCCTGCCCCTCCCCTCTCGGCCCCGCCCCATCCTCGGACCAACCCCCTTTTTTTTTTTCCTTTTTGAGGAGGAGGGAGTGGCCTGTTTATTGTCCATTGACCCTTGGTCAGTGGGGCTGGGACTGCCTCTCTGTGCCCTGTCTCCTTGTAAAGAGGAAACACTGACTTGGGAATTTCCTCTGAGAAACTCAGGGCCCAGTCTCCCTTTTCTTCAGCTCAGGACCGACCTTTGGACGCGAAAGGAAGACGCTGTAGCATCAGAAGATACTTGCCCCTTATGAGAAAATCCTCTCCCTGATACAGAAGTACCGTTGATTAAAACTCATTGGAGGAAATAGGCTTATTTCCACAGTGGTCCTTTAAACAATGTAGAAAAGGCAGTTACTGGGATAACTTGTGTTTTCCCTCTGTACCTTGACATCCCGAAGCATCTCGAGGCAGCCATGGCTGTGGTTACCCATTTTATAGATGGGAAATTGAGGCAACGAAAGACCAAACCAATTTTTTAAAAAATTAATTTTATTGGTACATGTTAGGTATACAATGTAATGGCATTCATCACTGAAAATTTGTACCTTTAAGTAATCTCTCCTGATTTCCCCCCATTCCCCTGCCCTCCCTTCAACCCCTCCATCCCTCCTTGTTTACAAAGACTTTGTTTCCATTTTTCATTTTCTCATTTTAATTCCATTCCCTTCTTTCCTCTCCCCCACCCCTCCCACCTCCCCTTCCCCTTCGCCCCTTTTCTTCCTGTTTCCCATTATCGGAGTCTGCCCAGTCCTCCCCGCGGGACTCAGTCCAGTCAGTCTGCCCCAGTTCAGTCCAGTGGCTGGGAGGCCCGGGACAACCAACCCCCCAGCCCCTTACCCCTCCAGAATGGGGCGCAGAGGACAGGGACCCTGCGCAGGGTTCCTCCAGGTCCAGCCTTTGAGGCCCAAGGGAGCCTGGGCTGGGGAGCTGGGCTGGTGGGGGCGGTGAGACCACGGTGCCCAGGCCTCCACCTTCCGCCCTTGGGTGGACTCAGAGCCCCTAGCAAGGGCTGCCTCCCACACCCCCACCTGCTGTCCTGGGGGCCAGGACAGGCCAGAGACAAGCTGGGCACCCACTGCAGGGCTGGCTGTCAGCAGCGGGTAGACTGCGGAGCCCTTGGCCGGATGGGGTCCTTGCTTCCCTAGAACTGAGCCTGGGGCAGTGTCGGACCCTGAAGGGCGCCAGGTGCTGAGAAGGCCGGAGTGAAGCAGACTGGTCAGTAGCACCTCACTGGTCGGTGGGTCCACCAGTGCCAAGCTCACGAAGCCCCTCAGCCAGAGTGCTGAGCTGTCCCTCACCACTGGCCCTGGATGCTGGAGGCTGGTGACACATCCCTGCATCCAGACCCAAGGCCCAGTGGTGCCTGGGAAGGTTTGCACCTCAGGGTGGGCATCAGAGCTAAAACTCAGTGAATGTCCACATAATGAGACTATTTCTTGCACCCTTCAGTGAGTCCACTAAGATTCATGCTGCACAAAGAGCAGAGAACTTTGCCTAAGGAGATTCAGGGCCCTGGTCAGCTGGACAAAGGCCTGAAGCTAGGACTGGGGAGAAGCAGGCCTGGCAGAAATGAATGGAAGGGTCTGCTGCCCCTGGCAGAAGGCAGAGGGGCATGGGGTGGGCAGATGGCTATGCATTGCCAGCGGAGCTACAGGCGGGCACTGCACCAACAAACAGGAATAGGAGCAGCAGCTTGGTGGGACTCCAGGAAAAATATCAGAAATAGTTAAGTAATCAAAATTGACCAACCTGGAGAACTCCATCTAGGCCTGGGGCAGGAAGTAAGGAAATAATATAAAGCAAACAAAACAAACCCAGCACAGACTGTCAAAGCTCCATGAGGCAGCTGAGAGCTTGGGAGAGTGGAAGTTGAGCTGGATCATAACCCAGATGGAAGCGCTATGGTTTCTACCTGGGTGTCCCCCCAAACCCTTGTGTCCTCAAAGGCGGGGCCTGTGGAAGGTGATTGGATTATGGGGCACTGCGGCTGGCTTGCTCTTGGGAGGTGGGATCTAGTCAGAGGAGGAGGGTCACTGAGGGAGTGTCCTAGAAGAGTGTATGTCTTCCCAGCTACTGTCTTCTCTCTCTGCTTCCTGTCCCTATGCCCTGAGCAGCTCTTCTCCACCTTGCCCCTGTGCCATGCTGTCCTGCGTTGGGGCTAGCGAGCCATAGACTCAAAGTTTAGCCAAAATAAACCTTTCCTCCTTTTAGTCGTGGGTGTCAGGTATTTTGTCCCTACAACAGGAAACTAAGACAGGGAAGAAAATGGATGGTCTACATGGACATGAATCCTGAATCAGTACATAAGCTAAGTCTCCGCCAGAGGTGTAAACAGCTTATGCTCTGTTCTGCTCTTGAGTTGCCTTCTCAGGGTGCACAGCATGGGAGGGGAGAGGGTGACCTCACAGTGGAGCCACCTGCAAACACACCTTGGGTGATCCAAGTGACCATCAGCAGTGACATGTCACATGATCTAATGTGCTGTGTGGGAAGGCCACAGGGCTTCTGTGGACTTCCTCCCAGAAGCCATTGCCTCAGTCCAGTCATCAGAAAAGCATCAAAAAAAAAAAAAAAAAAAGCATCTGACCAACTCCAGTGTAGGGTGTCTGTAAAATACCTGACTAGCCCTCCTCAAAACCGTCAAGGTCACCAAAACTAAGTAAATCTGAGAAGCTCACAGCCATGGGAGCCCAAGGAATGTGACAACTAAATGTCATGTGGTATCCTGGGCAAGATCTGGGGACAGAAAAAGAACATCAAGTAAACCCTAAGAGAACATGAAGAGAATGCACTGTGGTTAACAGTAACATGTCTGTGTCGACTCATTCCCAACAGTGACCTTACTGATGGAAGGTGCTAATACCACAGAAGCTGGGCAACGTCCAGGTGCTCTCTGTACTTCCTTTCTTGGGGATTCTCCAAAGCTACACCTGTTCTGAGCTTAAGTCTCTTTAAAAGAAAATTCACTGACTGAAGAAGGAATAATCCAGTTCAATTTACATTCAAAACCAGTAGCAAACAACAGACAGAGAAGAGGGGTCCCCTAAGCAGCCACCCACTAGCAGAGTCCCAGAGCCATGTGGGATGGAAAGTTGGAGGTTCCTTATGAATTTCTCTTCTTCCAACAGGACAAAGTGGGAAAGGTTGCAGGGAGACAGGTTTGGTGAAAGAGAGTCAAAATTCATTTCATGGTAAGTGAAAACCCCATTTTGAATGGAGCAGGATAGAAAGAACCAGCAAGACACCAAGCAGCCACTCTACAGAGAAACAAGCAAACAATTGACTACTGAGTCCAAACACAGACAAAAGCACAGCCTTGGAGAAAAATACCTGGAGAGGAAAACAGAATAGGAACATTAACCCAATAAAATCCAAAGTTCTGAGGATGTGACCAAAAAGGTGTGGCCTGGGCCGGGGATTTAGCTCAGTGGTTCTGTCGCTTGCCTTGCAAGCACAAGGACCCGAGTTCAATCCCTGGTACCCAAAAAAAAAAAAAAAACCAAATGAAAAGGTGTGGCTTAAGTAGAAAGCACTTAATACATCTCTTCAGTGATGAATAGAGCAAGCAGGCCAAAAGCCAGGAAAAGAGATGAAGAAAATTCAAGGAGAACAATCAGAAAACCTGGCCTACACAGAATTTTTCAACCAGTTGCAAAATACACACTCTTTTCAAGTCCATGTGAATATTTACAAAAGTGAACTGTCTACAGGTCATATATCAGTCCCCACAACAATCAGGATTAGGATAAGATGGGACCTGCTATTGCCTCGGGGCACCTGATCTAGATATCAATGGGGGAGGTGATCAGAAAATCTCGTATGTTTGGAAATTAAGCTTCCATGTTTCCATGGGACAGAAGAAATAAAAATGAACTTGGCCGGGGATTTAGGTCAGTGGTTCCGGCACCTGCCTCACAAGCACAAGGTCCCGAGTTCGACCCCCGGTGCCAAAAAAGAAAAAAGAAAAAAAAAAAAGTGAACTGTTGTGTTGTCTTTTTAATGTAAGTCATAATTTTATTGAAAATCTAAAAAATTAAACAGAATTTAAATATATACATCCAGCTCAAAAACTGATAGAATAACAAATAGAATGAAGAAAAGGTAACTTGTGTACAGGGGACAGAAATGGAGGGGAAGGAAGCAAACAGAAAGTACAAGGAAGGTGGCAGGAATAAGTCCCCATATCCAGTCGCGTAAGACACTACAGCAGGTGCCCTTGTGCCCTCATGTACCCCGTCCTGGCTGCTCTGGCCCTCTCCCAGTTGTTGTATCTCTGCTCCACTCAGTACCTGGTCTGGAAGGCTGCTCCATGTGTACAGGAGACCCCGGGGATGGACACCCCAGCCTGGGTCTTCAGCAGCACCTGGCCTTACAGCGATCACCCCACTCTTCAACCCTGAAGAGGAAGTGAACACACAGGAGGAGGCATAAACCTCCATGTCCCTTTGTCACCTGTGAGGCTGGCACACTAAGCCACTTCCCATGTGTCAGCATGCTCCAGTCCTGGTGCTCAGGGACATCCTGTAGTTGTCACTCCTCAGGAGTTCAGTGGGAAACTCCTTTTCACAGGATCAGGGCTATGCACAGAGAGGTGGAGAAGGCTCAGGAGGCATTAGGTCCTTCTGTGATCGGGAGGGAGACAACCTGCCAACTGCCAGGCTGCTGCACTCTGATGGCAGGAGGGGCTGTTTGTCACCTCTGGCTTGGTCGACACTCGAACTCAGACCTAAATGGAGGGTGCTCCTCTTTCTATCTTGAACCCTGAGGGCCACCAAGGAGCTTTGGTGACAGTGGTATCCTAGGTGATGGTCTGCCCAGTGGGAGGCTGGCAGCTACTGGAGGGCAGGGCTGTGCTCCTGTCCCTGAGTCACCATCCCTCTGCTGGGCAGACTTCCAGGTGACACCAGGTGGTCTAGGAGCAGGAGCTCTGCATGAATCTGAAATGGGACCATTGCCTGCCAGACGGCGGCAAGGACCGTGGCCAGGGGTGAGTGGGGCTCCAGTCTGCCCGCGATAGCATCTGTCACCTGTGGCCAGCTGAGCCATCTGTCCTTGGCTGTGACATGCAGTGGTGAGGAAACACCCTGGCTAGCCATGTTGGGGCAGAGTCCTGAGGGAGAAAGGGCCATTTAGGTGAGCACCTGGAGGCTGCTGACTGCAAGAGACCCCAAGTGGCCTGAGACCCCGTTTTCTGTGGTAGCAGAGAGAGGACTGTCAGCCAGTAGGGGCCAAGAGATGCAGGGCCACACAAAGAGAGTGGCTGCTGGGCTTTCTGTGCTAGGTAGTGTGAAGAGTCTCACAGATTCCCTGTCCCTTGCTAGAAGACCGGAGTGTCTCTTGTCTGGACTCATGGACAGATGTTCCCAAGACGATGCACCAGCCAAGGGTGCAAGACCCTTACGATGCCACAGGGCCCACCCAATGGGAAGGTCCTGAGCTGTCTCTCAGCGAAAGTGCCCTGAGACACCAAGACTTCAGTCCTGGCAAGGATTCCTGAAGCCAGCCTTATAACATGGCACAGAAAAAAAACCAAGGTCTGCCCCCTGGGAACATGAAGAGCAAGGCCAGAGGCCATCATGGACCAAAACAGGCCTGCAGGGCCCAGTGTGCACAGCCCACACCAAGGCAAGTGTGAAGCCTGTGGCGTCCTGACGCCTGAATGGGCCAGATTAGTAGCTGTGGGCCCTAAGGTCCTCTGCCTGGTGCAGATGACAGAAGGGTAGAACCCAGAATGGTGAAGCCTGGACTTAAAGACCCCACTTTCTGTCAGTGGCTCCCTCTGCTCTGTGCTGGGTGTGGATGGACACAGCCCGCTCTGGTACACAACTGTCAAGCCTACGGGCCGCACTCTTAGTGATGCTTACAGGAGGGAAAGGGGGGAAGTGGTTTCCACTCGTGTGCAGCCAGCAGTGTGCACTAGTGTGCAGGACCTGTGCTGCACTCTGCATCAGAGGTGGCCGTGGACATCTGGTCACCCCCAGGTCCATGTGCCGACAAGCATGGGACAAGGAGGTGGTGGCAGGTATCCATGAGCCTCGGCAAGGCACATGTGCGGAGGGAGAGAGAACCCTGCACATGCGGGTGTTGCCATACCAGCACACTGTGCTCCTCAGGGCAGGTCGGGCACATCCACAGCATCCTCACCTCACCTCAAGCACGTTCACATCCACGGACTCATTCTAGGGCCCCAGCAAATACCAAGCCCCTTGCATCAAGAGGCACAGGATCTCCCTGCAACCTATGCACCTTCTCTAGTACACTGGTCATCTGTAGACCATCTGAAATACCCAACATGAATGCCATGGAAATAGCTGTTACATCACAGTTTACTGTATGCTTTCAGTTCAGAAGGAATTTTTTTCCCAAACATTTTGGATCCATGGTTTGCTGAATCCATGGATTTGGAACCTATGGGCACAGAGCACTGACCATTCCATAACAGATCATGTTTTATACTCTTACAAATATTTTATATAATAAATTTCCAGCCTGGGAGAATTTTTTTCTTCTGCTTTTATTACAAGCATATAATATTAATTGGCAAAACACTGAATACAAGCTTCACTATCATGAAATCAAAACATTAAGCAATATTCCAAAAAAGATTTTAGACAAAAACTAGCCACCGATGGTACAAAAATTACACACCAACACAAAGCATAAAAAATGTAAACTTTCAAATTAAACAGTCAAACTATGTATCTGCGTTATCACTCCCACACACCGGGATAGCTTTCATTAGCTCCCACGCACCATGGGCAAAGGCTCAGCCTGAGCTACCGTCCTGACCTGTCACTGTCGCTTGGGAAAATGTGTCTCTAAGACCCCTCTGAGTCACAGGGATGGATGCGCACACCAACGCTGCACACAAGTCGGGGACACACGCCTCAGCCCACTCTTCAGTGCACTCGCGGATGGGACAGCAATGCACAGAGGCGGCTGTAGCCCCTCAGCCGTTCCCAGAGGGGCACAATACGTGTAAAGATTATGATATAATTTAAACGATGATTTTTCTACTCTACTTACCCCAGTTACTTCCTTAGTGTATTTAAGTATCAAGGCAGAGAAACACATTTGTTTTCATGTTAAGGTCACATGTGATGTGGTGGGGCGTACATGATTTCCTGAGGAAACAGATAAATTGGATTCTTTTGTGATTTAGCTATCTGCACTAAATTTTGAATGTTCTGAAAGCACATTAAATATTTACGTACAATGCAGAAATCAGCTGGCTCATTCCTAGGTCATTCAATCGGATGACACATTTCAGATCACTGTGAATGCCACACTGCGTGTCTCTAGAGACAAAACCAACAACTGTCCAAAGACACTGAATGCCAAGCACAGGCCTCAGAGGCCGGCAGGCCAAGAAGGCAGCACCGTCAGGTCTGCAGGCTGAGGCCATGTGATCCCAGCCCCAGGGCAATGGGCCCAGGGCCCACGGACTTCCGTGGCACTTGCTTCTGAATATTGCTGGCAGGTATTCACACACACACACACACACACACACGCGCGCGCGCGTGCAAACAATCCCAGTAACCGCACTCATACAGCAACAATGAAAAGGAAAAGCCAAATGGGCAAATGCACACATTTTGAAGTTCCACCTATATTCCCTTTCTGTTTAGCAGAATTGATGCTACATCACAACTTAAACATATCGAATAATGCATGTTGGAATCTATTGCACGAAAGCATATAAATGCTCTTCATCCCTATAAAAGCATATGAATTAAAGCCTACTCAAAGTAAAAGAAGCTTGCAAAACATCTTACAATTTCATCTTATATGCCTGTAAATAAAGCTGGACCACCAAAACCAAACAACTGGATGGCAAAATATGATAGAAGGCTTAAAATAGAATAAATAATTTTATAAAGTTAAGTTTTCTTTTTTAACCCCCCAAATCTTAAATTCAATATTATATATTCTATCTGAGTTTTCTATTTTTGTGAAAACAGTGTCCAGCGAGACCACGTGCGGGAGAGGCTGGTCCCACCGCTGCTGGAGGTGTGCAGGGCCCATCTGACAGCCTTGGCTTTACCAGCACAACAGTGATGAAAACGACTTCACAGCAACTCCATCTGCTAAGAAAACTTAACAGGACCAATCACTAGCTGATCCTGGTGTTCATGCTGGAAAAAGTAAGATTCAGCCTTTGATGTCAAATGAGAGCTTACAGGAATAAAATGGACTGTCCAGAGCATTCGCTGATGCAGCTTCCTCCACTCCTGGCTCTGAACTAGGTAAGGCTACGAGTCAGACCTCAGGGCAGAGATCGCTGGACGGTCCTGCAGTGAAGACAGTCGTGTGGTGGAATCTTAGAAAAATAGGTACTTTTGCTGCTTAGGTTTGGTCAGGGTAATGGTGACAGAAGCTGAGTTGCTCAGGGTGGGTGGCACCCGGCTGGAAATCGGGCTGGATTTGACACCCCACCTTGCTGCACACTGAAATCTATCAACTTAGCACCATAGCAAGTCAAGTGACTCCAAAGGTAGCTACAACGGTACAAATATGAGATTATACAGCAATATTAAGTTTGATCTAACGGTGAATTAACTTTATTTGAATTTGGAGGCTCAAACTGTTTAATCCTTCTTCAGTTTCACCACACAGGAAAATACCTAAATTCTAATGTTACACTTAAAACTGCATTGTGATATCGTGGTTTTACAGAATGCTTCAGCAGTACATGTGGTTTGAGGTAGACAGGTAATATTTACTCATAAACCCTTGTGTAGTAACTCTAGAAACGATTTGGATGAGTAGCCAGCTCAGGAAATGGAATAATCCACACAGTCCTGGGCTTAAACCAAGAGGTGAGTTTTGACCAATTTCTAACCAAGGCTTTTGTTTGTACTTTAGAAAGGCCTCGCATCAAAGGTTGCCTCCTCATCACTGACCTTAGGTCTCACTGGCCGCTGTTTCTGACATTTTGTGTATGTGAAACAGGAAGCAGAAGAAAACAAACAGAACTGGATGTTGACAAGCCCAAATACGGCTTTCAAAGCAAATTCAAGAAAGAGTTCTAGTTGCTAAGGGAAAAACTCACAAAAACCTGGCCCCCAGACACATGGAGACCCTCATCTACCCAGCAAGAGCCGGGGTGGCGGCCTCGATGAGTGACCGGCTGTGGCCATGGTCAGCTCATCAGGGAGGGCCTGGGAGGGGAAGGGCAGGCCCAAGGCTGGACAAGACTGATAGGACTCCGGCAGCACTGCAAGCTGCTGTGCAAAGCGGCCCCAGCCCTGGCAGGCCCACATCTGAGCCTTGAAGGAACACTGTTTCTGTGCTGGCAGAGCTTACTCTCTCCTTTGACAAAAACATCTCACATTCAGGAAGGGAGGATCTTGCCTGTGACCAAAAAAGCAACCTTGGCTGGGTGGAGCTGAGCCCAGTCGCTTGGCTCAAAAGCTGCCTTGTGTGGAGGAGGGTCACGGAGCAAAGGCCGCCTCCCCGTACAGGAGGGGACCTGGAGACGGCAGCAGGCAAGTGCCGGAAAGGAGACTTCACCAGCAGGTCTCCCCACAGGCTACGCTGTCTGATAAGCACCAAACACAAACCCCACCATCGCTCCCATCACCACAAAAAAGGCAAAGAAAAGCAGGAGATTATAATAGAACGGCACCAAACAATTTGTGCCCATTTTAATCAAAGAAATCTTAAAAAAGAAGAACTGTTTTGCAGGCCAACGCTTAGCTGGAGAAGCCACCTCTGGTCTACCTTGCCTGAGTGTGCCGGAACCTCGACGGGAAGCCGGGTGACGAGGGCCCGGTCGGGCCTGGGTGGTGCTGTGCAAGTGGGAACTTAAACGCTGTGGTACCATGCAAGCCCCTTTTGGTATGCTTTTAAATTAAACTTTTTATATATCTTCTACGTCTTCGGGAAGCTAAAGGCAACATAAATATCATTTACCATGAAAACATGTTTCAATAACTTAGGAAGGACTCAATAAAAGTACAAGTATTTTTGAGGCTTATCATGAAACCTGATCCAGGAACTAAACTGAAATGAGCTGATTCCCAAGACCTGGAAAGCAAGCGAGGGCCATCTATGCCGGAGGGTGGCGCGGACGCCTGTCACAGGTGCTCATCACTCTGCCTGTGGGCCAGAGGCAGAGATGGGCACGTTCGGCTCCATGAAACTGCGAAGTGTTTTCATCCTCTGTAAACGCGTGCTGGTAGTGTCTTGTTGGGTGTGGATTCTTTTATACAAAAGTTATAAATATTCTCTATTCAGAAATCTGGTCCGCATGGCACCCAGATGCAACATTCTACGGCGCAGTCACCGTGGGTGGCTGAGTGCAGCCAGGTGCAGGTGCGAGTCTGCACTGCAGGCTCACAGTAAGTCCATCTTGGGTCTGTAGTGCAGCAGGAGGGGGGCCTTCTGCAAGATAAGGACAAAGGGCCTCAGTGGGCAGTGGCTGGATGCCAGAGCCCACACGCTCATGCTCAGGACAGTGCCTGACCTGCACCCAGGCAATGTGCAAGTGCAGGAGCCCTGGCTCGTCTGGGAACAGGGACCACCTGTGCAGTGCTCTGGTCCCATGCCAGGGTGTGCACCACTGGCTCACCTGTTTCTCCCACCCCTCAGTACTGGCTGTGCTCTGGATCTCACACCCTTCGGCCTCGGCCTTGGTCATCCCAGCCCCTCATCAGGCCTGACCTTTGTCATCCTGAGTCCTGGCCAGCCCCAGCCCCTGGTCAGCTGGGCCATCTAACTTCCTATTCCCCTGGGCAGCAACTTGGCTGAGGAAGGAGCAGCCCCCAGACAAGGACTCCACCATGGTCTTCCTGCCTCAGAAAGGCACCCAAAGGCTTCAGCATCTGCTCTGATTGCAGTGGTCACTGTGGCATCTGGCCCCATGAACCAGAGGGGTGAGTGAGGACCCTGTGCCTGGGGAGCCTGGCTGAGGCGGATGATTTCAGAAAGATAAGCGATTCACAGCAACCCCTGTAGTAATACATGCAGAGGAAGTAAGTACCTTGAAGCAGTCTGGAAATCAAGGTAAGACAAGGGGCAAAACAAGCAGCTCACCTTGAATCTCCACCGTGTGACCACCACGAACTTGAGGGTATGATCCTTGCCCAAGATCTCCTCATTGCATAAGATGTCCAGCTGGGGAAAGGAGCTGTGGTTAGGGACATGTCTGACCCACAGTGAGACCAGCGCCAACGAGGACTGCCCTAGGAGTAAGGCACCCACGTCCTTGAAACGCGCCCCTCCCTCCCCAGGCCCTGTGGAAGAGCTCCTATGGAGAGTCTGCTTGCTGAGTCGTTTACCCTGCCTTATCATGAGCGGAAACCTGGTGCAGACGTATGGTACCTGTCAGAAGCGTCCCTGCGATGGTCACCCCTCCCACGTGCGGTCACAAGCACGGGCCCTGGCCTGGCTGCTCCACATGTGTGGGGAGGCCTGGGTATCCAGCTCTGCTCCTCGTGCCCCAACACTGCACAAGCCTGCGTCCCTGGCCAGGCTCACTGCCTCTGGTGAGGTGGTCCGCTTCGTGGGGGCCTCACTGTACCTCTGCCACCTGGTAGCACCAAGGTACCTGGGGCGCAGGTGGGAGAAAAGTCCACACCCACCCCACCAGCCCATGCCTCAGGGCTATGCTGCCCGGCTGTCTCATCTCACCAAGGGCCTCTCGCTGCAGCAGATGAAGGGAATGGGTCCCCAGGGTTTTTCTCATCTAACAGACTTTATTTTTAAAGCACTTTGAGGTTCACATCAAACTGAGCAGCAGGACCAGCTCCACTCACCCTGCTGGGCAGCCCTACTGTCGATATCCACATCCCCGGCTCCTCTGCCAGCCAGATGGCAGGGCCCCGATGCTGACGTGTGCCCTGTTTCATCTCCCAAGAAGCTGCCCAGTGGGGGTCCATCTCATTCCATCTCCATGCCCCCGCCCCCGCCGTGCCAGCGCCTGGCCTGGGGTCCAGCCGGTACCACTGCCATCTCACCGTCCACTGCATCTACATTTGCCTACGCGCACAGGACGGAGACCCAGATGGTCTCTCGAGTTCCTCCCTTCACAGTGGGCAAAGGTTGCCTCTGGGTGCCTGTGTGGCCACCCGGCCACCTCCCAGTAGACGCAGCTATGCTTCACCACACACAGGGCTGAGCACCGCAAGTGGCTGCTGCTCCCTCATGGTGGGTCCCAGTGACGCTGGTCCTCCGAACCCAGGGGACTATCTTGCCTGTGTTTGTGGAGGTGGTGGTTACCCTTCTCAAAGCAGCCTCCTGGGAGACACGTGACCTCCTGAGGACTGACCACCGCCTGCGGCAGACACACCTCACGCTCCCTGCCTGGCTCCCAGGAGGATCCAGCCCTGTGCCTGGAACCTGGCCTTTCCCTGGGCCTCCTCCTTTTCAACAAGCTTCGAGAGTCCACCTCCACAGAAGCCCAAAGTACAGGCCCCTTCCAGGCCCGCTACCTGCCTTCATCTGCTTCTCCAGAGAAAAGCAAACAGAACAACAGAAACTTAGTAAAAGGGCACTTTCCATCTCCTCCTCCTCTTCCTGCCTCCACCACATCTGGACTTGGTTTTTCCAGTGGGCTCTAGGAAGCAGTTATGCCATCCCAGCCTACTGCGGGGGAGGCAGGGCTAGGCCTGGCCCCTTGATAGCCTCTCTGAGCCCTGGCTCCTGGCCCTGAGACAGTTCCAGAGCCCAGAATTCTGAACCATGTGCAACGGGCCTGAGCTCCCAGGGTGGGGATCCAGGGTGCCTCAGTCTAGAGCTGTAACAGAGCAGCAAAGGCTGAGGCACTGGCAAAGAGCAGAGCTCATTTCTCACAGAGCTGGAGGCTGATGTCCAGGTCACAGTCCTGGCATCTGGGGGCGCCACAGGCTGCTGGAGTGGAAGACGAAGGCCACGCCCAAGCCTTCTCCATGACTGAGGGCCCCATTCCTGAGGGCTAACCTCTCTTGTCCATCTCCTGGCAGCCCCAGCCAGCACACTACACTGCAGCCAAGTTTCCGACACGGGCATCTGGGGCCACATTCACACACACAGAGAGGAGCCCTCCTGCCCTTCTGGCTTCTGGGGCCCCAGGCAGTGTCACTCCAGTCTCTGTCTTCACACAGCTGCTGCTGTGTGTCTCAAATCTTCCTCCTCATGCTTATAATGGACTCTTGTCTTCATATTTAGGGTTCAGCAGAAAATCCAGGATAATTCTTCTCAAGATCCTCAATTTTATCACATCTGCAAAGCTCCTTTTCCAAAGGGGCATCCACAAGTTTGGCTGGGACATGGGGAACAGGTGTTCTTGGCCCTCTCTCACTTCTGTGTCCATTTTCTATACAACCTGAGGGGCTTTTAAAGCTAAAACTCAAACCATGGACCCTGCTTGGGGTTCCCACCAAGGCAGCTCTTGTTGGCAGTTTGCACCTTCACACGAGTGGCACCACCAAGGGTGCTGGGGGCCTGTGCTTGCTCACAACTCTCTGCCACCAGCTGCAGCACTCTAGATGTGCTTCAGTCTCTGTCAGACCCACTCAGCCAGCCAATCATGGAACTAAAGAACAGAACTCATGATGAAAACCTTAAACCAGTTCTAAAGTAATCTATTCTCTCAGGTTTTCAATCTTCATTGGTGTTTCCTGTTGTATTACCTTGAAGGGCAGGAAACAAAATTGAGAGGCTTTTTCTTGATTAAAATTCCCAGAGATACAAGCCGGGTGTGGCAGTGCACGCTTGTAATCCCAGCACTCTGGGCGGCTGAGGCAGAAGGAATGCAGGTGTGAGCTCAACCTGGGCAACTTAGTAAGATCCTCTCAAAGATCCAATCAAATCAAAGCCCCAAAGTTGTTACACACATACTTCCCAAATGAACAACTCGTGCTTGTGTTCACAGTCCAAGGTTACCTCATTGAAAGAGGAAAGGTTGAGCTTCTTGGCGATGAACTTCTTCAGGTGCAGCACGGTGGCCTGGGCTGAGCAGCGGATCCACTTCCGTTTCAGGCCCCGCAGTTTGCTGCTGTTGCACTCTAGGCAGATGCTCACCTGGAGGAGAATGTAGCCTGTTAGCTGGGTCCCCACCGACCCCAAGTCTAGAGTGCTGGCCTCTGAAATCAGACATCTGCTTTACTCAGACTGCAGGAAGACCATACTTCAATGATCTTTTACAGAATCTCTTAGAACCTGCCTGTCCTCTGAGCAATACACCCTCACCAATGGCCTCCTAACACAGTAGCTCTGAGCGTTCTATGTTCGCTGTGGGCACCTGACATTCTGCTTGAGTGGCTGTCCCCTGCAGGGAGATGGCAGCAGTGGCATGAGTGTGTTGAGCAGGTTTATGAGGGCAGCAGAGACAAGCACGACCTAAAGGATGACGGGAAACTGCACGAAGACAAGTGAGTCCTTAGCAGAGGAGAAGCCATGAGCAAAAGCTGAGTCTGGCAGTGCATGGTGTGTTCTGTTCTGGATGAGCAACAGCTCAGCTGGATCAGAGCTGTGTACCCCTCGGGCCACACAGTCAAGTTAGCTAAAAGTGAGGCCAGGCCCCTACCAGCCAGGGATGCCTGGCAATGCAAACGGTAACATGCTTTGGGGAAAAAGCCCATTCCAGGCCCGCTAAAGAAGTACCCCCCAACCCCAATGGCAGCAGCCACACAAACAGGACTCTGAGGTTCTGAAAAACCAACAGAAGAATCAGCAAGGGAATTAAGAGAAATGTGTGTAAGAGATATAGAAAGAAGACTTTAAAATGTAAGAACAAGCAAGCACAGGAGACAATCAAATAACAAGCATTCACTGAAATTAAAGACTCACTGGACGACTTAACCACTTAACCACGGTCTTGGCTACAGACAGATAAAATTCCTGAAAGGTCATCTGAAGAAATTACCCTAAGAAATGCAAAGACACCTGACACAGTGGCCCACGCCTACCATCTCAGAATTCAGGGAGGCTGAGACAAGAGAATGACCAGTCCGAGCCTGGCCTTGACAACTTTGTGACTTGCACGGCCTGCCTCAAAATAAAAAATAAAAATAAAACAGGGCTGAGGATGTTGCTCAGTGTGAAGGCTCTGGGTTCAATCCCGGGCACCCCCTCCCAAAAGTAGTGTAGAGACAAAAGACAAAGATACCAATTCAATGGACAAAGGAAAGCTCAGAGCAAGGAACACAGACGGAGGAGCCCAGTAAGCTCAGGGCGGAAGCTCCTAGGGAGGGAACAGGAAACAAGGGAAAGGTAAATTGAGGGGAGAATGATTAAGGGTCTCCCCCAAACAATGAGAGACACAACTCCTTAGATTCAGGATCCTCAGATTCAGGAAGTAAAATTAAACAGAAAGAAACACACTCCCAACTTAAAGGTTCCCTGAAAGGGGCTTCCCAGCAGGGTGGGCAGCAGCCCAGACAGCAGAGGCCCCACAATCCAGACAAAAACTAAATGATGGTCACAAATTATAATAAAATAAAACTGTCTACAAGCAACGACGCAGGGACATAATCTAAGCCGGGCGTGGTGGCACACGCCTGCAATCCCAGCCCTCAGGAGGCTGAGGCAGGAGGACTAGCATGAGTTGAGGCCACCTGGGCTCTATGGTGAGTTCAAGACCAGCCTTCAGCCTTCAAAAAACAACAACACAGCCCAGGAGGACAGATCCTGAAGCACGATGTGCGACTGCCAAGGAAAGTGAGGCCCCGGCACAGCTGGGGCACGAGGGACCTGCACTTACTTACATGTCTGCACTTTTCCAGATCTAAGTGTTCATTTAAGCACTTCTAACCAACAAGAGAACAGAAGCAGCGGCAAAAAAGAGATGAAAGAAAATTCACTAATTTCCTGGTGCAAACAGCGTTGCCTATGTGAGACAGGAAAGCAGAGGAAAAGACATACAGATGGGAGGCGTAGAGTAAAGCACAAATCAACTCAAATTTAGCAGTGATCACAGGAAATGTAAAATAACTTGCCAGTTACTTACAGTTTGGTTTGTTAAAAAATTTTAAGAAACCAAAACATCAAGTAAATATTAACCTAAAGAAAGCTGGCCTAGCTAGATTAATTTGAGATAAAGCAGGCATCCAGAAAAGACTAATGAGAAGACCCAGTGGGGATGGAAAGCGTTAACCCTACCCTACCCTAACCCTAACCTTCCACAAGGGGCTGGCCCCGTGCAGGCCCTGTCCTCCACGCCCTGAGTGCAGGAGCCCAGGTGGTGACCATCAGGGGTCACCGAACTGAGCTGCCTTGCCAGGGGTGGACTGGCCCTGTCCATGTAGGCCCCGAAGCCCACCAGAATTCCAACCCAAAGGAGAATAGCTACTGCATATTCCCTTGAGAACTCCAAACTAAAGGAGAGCGGCTAGCACAAGTTCCCCAAGCCTCAGGAGCTGGCCCTCGAAGGAAGCTGAAGGAAGCCAGAACTCGAGCAAGCACCTAAGCACCATGTGCCAGGCAGCCTAGAGCGGACAGTGTGCACAGGAACATGAAGCTGCAGTGAGGAGACCTTCAGGCGGAGTCTGAGGCCGTGCCATGCCCACCGACATGTGATGCAGCAGTTGGTGGTGGGTGTTGGGTCCACCAAGGCCTCACCTATTCTCTAGACACAGTGACAGAACTTCCACTGGAACTGTCCAGCCAACTCAGCAGTGGTTTCTAATTTTTAGGTGGAAGACCAAAGTCCCACAATTATCAAGACAGTTCTTTCTGTTGCTTGTTTTTTGAGCTGAGGGTCTGTGTTTCCCAGGCTGTTCTCGAACTCCTGGGCTCAAGCGATTCTCCTACTTCAGCCTTCCAGGCTCTTAGGACCCTGAATTAGAAAAATGAAGGGATACTTGCCCTATTGAAAATCAGAACTCAGGTAAAGTAAGCAACTGCACCTCAGTGAGTATGAGTGGTTTGTGCACACGGGGTGGCGGTAGACCTGTGCACCAGAACAGACCTGTGGAGATGTGCTGTCAGGGAGGCCCACAAGTAAATGTTCAAGGCATCCAATTCACCTTCAGCAATATGGCAACTGTCCTTCCTCCCACACAAACCAGCTCAGTGGCTTACAGCCTGAAGGTGAAAAGCCAAACTAAAATATCTTACCAAAAAATGTGGGTGAACATATTTATGGCCTGAGGGTGGGAAAGAATTTAGGATAGAAAATACCAATGAATTTAATAATGTCCAATTTTAAAACTGTACAATGGGCCCATGAAGAAGGCCAAGAGCACAGGACAGAGAAGCCTGCGATGCAGTGACAGGGTACATCATCCCTACACCATGAGAAAAAGACTGCACGATGCAAAAGTGGACAAAGAACACAAATAGGGAGTTTGTGAGTGAAGGATCCAAGAAACACTCAAGAGATGTTTGACACCACTGGAGCCTGGGTGAACACTGAAAAACAACCGAGGGGCCTGCTGTACGGCCATGTGGAGCACGGGACATCACTGCTCAGTGTATGCAGCTGACCTTCAGAAGTCCCATCATGCATCTAAGAAAATCTGAAAAGTAAATTTCTGTCTGAATGCAGTGAATTGCAGCAGGACCTGTGTTGTTTCTGTGGCTCACTGCTACGCACTGAATGCCAGTAAGAGAATAAGCTCCAGCTTAGCCTGGCAGGAGGAGCCAAGCAAAGCCTGGGCCTTGGCATCATTGCCACTGCACCAGCAAGTTCCACAGGTAGCTTTCGGTTTTTTTTGGTTTTTTTGGTACCGGGGATCGAACTCGGGTCCTTGCGCTTGCATAGCAGGCAGCGAAACCACTGAGCTCAATCCCCGGCCCCACAGGTAGCTGTCAAACATGTCCCCAGCTCACTGTTTCCTGTACTTGCTCAAGACTGCTAGATACCTGCCCAGGCTTGTAAGGCCACTGGGCCCTCATCATTACTCATGCAGAGCCAAGGATGCCGCACCCTGCAGTTGAGTGTGACCTCTGATCCCTGCTGCATCTCCCCTCTTAAGGGTTAAGAGGAGGTTCACCTGCCACAGGGCTTCTTGCCTTTACTGCCTTCCCTGCTCGGGCTTCCCTGCCCTCTTCCACTTCGGCAGCTCTGGAAGGCCTGCTCTACCTGCTTCTGCCCCTCTTTCCTTTGTTCCCCATGCAGTGTCCCCTGACATTCTCCCTCCTGCCACACAGCATCTGACCCAACCCCTCCACCAGCTGCAAGGTCCTTAAAGGCAGAATGCCATCTCCCTGGTAGCTGTCAGCACTACTGTTCACACTGGCCTGGCAGACAGATTTGAGCAGAATTTAGAGTAAGTGAGAATAAACTGAACTCTCAAACCTAGGTGCTGGATGGGCCAGGCAAAGAAAGACCTGAGGTAGACATGATTGAGAAACCCTGATGACCTTTTTGTTTGTTTGTTTTTGGTACCGGGATCGAACTCGGGTCCTTGCGCTTGCTCACCAGGTGGCAAAACCACTGAGCTAAATCCTCGGCCCTAGATGACCTTTTCAACTTGAGCAAAGGTAAAGGAGTGGGACTGTATAGGAAAGAACTAGATGCAGGACGCCAGGGCTAAGCTGGGGGGGAGAAATGGAACACAGAAGACCAAGGTCCCAGGTGGAATAGCACAGGAAACCCAAGATGGATTCTCAGATGTCCTACAAAGTTCTGAAGTGGGGGACACAATTCACCTACGAAACACAGGAACTGGTCTATATGGAGAATTTCCACAGAAACTACTTCATTGTCACTTCTGCCTGGAAGACAGACATACAGAGGCCTTGTCGTGTATTTCTGGTTTAGGAAACATTACTCTGAGTCAATAATCCTGATATAGTTTTGTGCTGCTCTGCAATTCATTAAACTGGTTTCCCTCAAGGAGGCAACGACATGGACCGACAGCTTGTTCTCAGGTCACAAGCAACTATGGATAAGTGGCTAAGCTGTGGAGTCAGGCAATGGCCATGCCTCTTAAGACAGATGGGAAGGGGCTGGAGGGGTAAGCACAGCCTATGTAGTGAGAGGCACAGTTTGTGAGAGCCTCCTGATTTCTTAATGAACCAACTCCAGAGCTGCAGCTCAGCTACAGTCCAGTGTGGTCAGGATGCACCATGCGGTGCTCATGGACACCCATCCCGTTCCGTAGAGTGGTCAGGACCCTCTGTATGGTACCAATGGACAAGCACCCACCCAGCAAAAAACCAAGACCAGGGTGCCAGGTAAGCAGCAGATGTAGGTGGGGTGATGTGCACTTCTCTGACTAGCTTTCCATTTCTACTTTTCATGCTTCGTGTAAAACTGTATTATCTAGTCAGTTCATCTAAATGATTTAAAAGTTTACAAGAAAAATTATTTTGAATTTAGAATTCTGTATCTGTCCAAATTACTCAAATGTGAGGGGGACAGTAAATATCATACTGACATGAAAGTACTAAGAATGTTTACCACCCATGCACTGCTCTCGTGTGATGTGAGGACACAGAACAGACCCACTGAAGAGCAAGACAGGACATATCCAACAGTGTACAAAAGAAAAAATAAAACCAAAGCCCACAAAAACTATAAAAATTCTTTTAGCCAGGGGTGACGGTGTATGCCTACAACCCCAGCACTCAGGAAGCTGAGGCAGGAGGATTGCCGTGAGTTCAAGGCCAGCTACATAGCAAGACTCTGTCTCAAAGAACCAAAAATTGTAACAACTAAAAACTTCTTGTTAAATCCAAATAATTGCTAGTATTGTGTCAAAACTTGAGTAAAACTGGGGCTGGGAATGTAGCTCAGTGGCACCGCGCCTGCCTCACAAGCAAAAGATCCTGTGTTTGATCCCTGGTACCAAAAAAAAAAAAAAAAAAAACCCCGAGTAAAATTAAATGATAACGCCTTGAATAAAATTAGAAATAAAACTAAAAGTTATCAAAAATGATCTGGAATAAAATTTTTAATGACTTAAAATGCAAGTTTAAGCATGTCTAAAAACCTAAGAGCAGCCATTAGAAGAATAAAAAGATGTAACATTCCCAAACTATTGGAGGAGAAAAAGAGAAAGGAAACTAAAACCCAATCAAAGAGTTAAGAAAGGAAAGAAAAGCACAAGGTCCCGAGTTTGATCCTCGGTACCAAAAAAAAAAGAAAGGAAAAAAAAATACAAACAAGAGTGAGACGGCAGCTACCACAAGACACAAGTAATGAATGCTAACCTCCTCTACTGAAAAGAGACCTTGAGATGGGTGTAAGAGAAGCAGCAACAAGCCCCTCACATCACATATTAGAGTACCATGACACAGAAAAGGCCAGAGCAGAGGCAGCAAGCAAAGCAGCAGGAGCAGTGTCTGTGTCAGTAAGTCAGAGACTGCAGAGAAAGAGAAGAGCCTTGCAGTGGGGGAAGGGACACAAGCCGACTGTACCCTAACAACCAAGCAAACAAAATCTAACCGAGAATGACGGAGACCAACAGGAAGAACAGCAATGATAATGCAGCAGGACTCCACCCAGGCAGGTGCACACACCTGGAGCACCTCCCTGGCCTGCTCTGTACTTTGTCATCTTCAGCTCAACACCTCCACATGCTGCAGCCGTGAAGCCAGTTAGTGCTAGGAGAAACTAGGACAGATATCACTGGCCTTTGCCTTCCTTCACAGGTGGGGAAACTGACGAGCAGCTGCAATTTGTGATGGCCACATGCTGGTTACTGGCAGAGCCATGAGGTGAGCAGATGGGCCTCCAGGGCCAGTGTGCTTAGCCACCACATGGATGACAAAAGCAGCAACAGGAAGAACAGCTGCATCCCAGCCCATCTGTACCAATGGACACAACAAAGAGCTCAGCCCCCAAGCAGAGGTCAGCATATGAAAAGTGCCACCAGAGGGGAACAAGAAAGGACCAGCAAACTGGAAGCCAAAGCAGGCTGCTCACTTCAACATCTGTGAATACTTCTAGTTCAAAAAGGCAAGGCAATGGGGCTAGAGCCTCTTCAGAAATGAAGGTCACAGAGCACTAAGCGTCAGTGCTGGGAGACACATCCAGGAGGGATGCAACCAGCAGCACTCGGGAAAAGAAACAGCCTTGGATGTGAGGAGAGACAATGAACACACAAGCAAAGGCTTAGCTTCAAATATCCAGAAAAGACCTCACATATTCTTTAAGAATTAAATAACTGGGGGTCCAGGATTTAGCTCAGTGGTTCCACTGCCTGCCTCGCAATCGCAAGGACCCGAGTTTGATCCCTGGTACCAAAAAAATTTAAATAATTGATCAAGTAAAAACAACCAATGAAAGAAACCTTTGGAATGTTTGCTGTAAAAACAAAAGAAAAAGGCAAAAATTAGCGGTCAGCAATGGAAAAATTTTAAATTGCCAAAACAAAGACTGAGTAGAGAAGAATACTATGTACAGTTCTACACCGGTCCACAGAAAACCATACCCAGAGATGAAGCATGGACCTGTGGCAAGACTGTAAGGTCTTGGTTGTTCCCCGAGTTGGAGCACAGGTGAGGAACGCCACTACTGCAGACGCCAGCAGGCGAGGGTCTACTTGACTCAAGGGTGTCATGTGCAAAGTCCCCCAAGCCACCCACAGACAATGCCTCTGTCACCTAGACTCAGAAGCAGCTCAAGGCAATCTCTGCTCTTGTTGCCTGTAGGTCAGTCAGAGCTGTCCTCTCACCAGCAAGGAAGGCCCTGTCATCAGGACCCACGTGTGCACAGACCTGTCCCTGTTTCTCTGAATGTCGTTGGGAGTGCAGATGTAGGTAAACTAAAAACAAAGATCTATTCTGGCCCTAAAGCACACTGTCGTGGTAACTGTGTCTCCTAATATGACCAAGCCCAGCCCCACTTTGTGTAGAGACCTTATAAGGGTTCTGTACATCCACCTTCCTATAAAGTCATTTCTGGCCATCTGCTGTAACCATGCCATGAGGCTAGCTCAGGGGAATCAGCACCTCTACCAGCCTTCCTCCCAGGGATGTTCACCAAAGCCCTGGCTGGCTGTGTAGACACAGTTCCCCACCCAGTCCCTGCACCTACCAATCCTCATATGTTGATCTCATCACCTGCGCAGCGAAATGAGCTTTAACTATTTTTTCATCTCATCATCTCAGGCTGTAAGACATTACCTGAGAATAACAACTTTTGCTTTCTTGCATGTCTCATTTTTATTTTCCCATGACATGGGCTAAGGCCTCCCAACTCACAGCTGTTGTGGCATTTTCTTATTCCTCATTTTAATGAGACAATGACTCTATTTCATCATGAAGTATGAGCTACTTTAGGGTCTTCTACAGACCAGGAGTATGAAACTTCATCAGATCCTTCCACAGCATCTGAAGTGTTTTAGTCAGTGCATAGAACTTTGGTAATTTAAGGAAAGATAAAGTGAGGGGCTCAGAGGAAGAAAGTTCTGGGGCATTTCGTCTTTGGTTTCTGGAAACACCACAGCATGCAAACGTGGAACATAACGGTGCTAGGGATGTAGATGCGAGCACCCACCTGCTCATCACTCCTGTGGTAGTCATTGTCTTCTTCCTGTTTCTCTTCTGCTGTCTCTTTGTTTGAACTATCATCTGCTTTGGTTTCACCTTTTACCACAGTAAACAGAAAACATGGTAAAGACTGAGCACCTCTAATTCAAAATCCTAACTGCTCCAAAATCTAAAACATTTTGAATTGTAAGGAGGAATTTCCACATCTGATTCTGTGATAAGCTGTAGTCCAACACAGATGCACTAAAAATATTGTGTAAATGTACCTTCAGGCAATGTAAAGCATGTATATGAAACATAAATGAATTCCTCTCTAGTCTTGGCCCCAAACATTTTGACAGCTTGTCTGGAGCTTCTAGCAGGGGAGCGCAGCTCCTCCTGTACCCTTGAGCGAGGAAACAGTCCTCCTCTATCGGGAGTGGTTGTCCTCCTCCACTGAGCGCGCGGCTTCGGCTTCAGGAGGGCCGCACACGGAGTGCTGAGGGAGGAAGGCGACACCCGTCCGGCCAGCCAGGTCAGCAGGATCAACCCTGGCGCTCAGTGGGGTGACAGAGGTCGCAGCCAGATCGCCCTCGCATCCAACTTCTTCTTTTTTTTTTTTGGTAACAGAGATGGAACTCGGGTCCTTGCGTTTGCACAGCAGGTGGTGAAACCACTGAGCTAAATCCCCAGCCCTCCCCAAACATTTTGGATAGGGACACTCAACTTGCATTACAAAGTCTAAAATATTATGCTATTTTTAAAAACGAGCATACACTCTAAATGCTTTGACGTTCACTCTCCCAAGAGCGGACGTGAGAAGCCTGCTGAGTGTCAGAGCCACAAGTCTCTCAATACCATGTTCCCCCATGGAGCAGGGCTCCCTGAGGCTAACCCAGGCAGGGTGGGCTTATCAGTGCATTCTCGGGGATACAGAAGGACTGATACTGGTGAGAGGAACAGACAGCTCCTGGAACCATGCAGCGCTCGCCAGAGCAGCCCCTCCCTGGGACATCCCACTCATGCAACCTTACTACACTAATGGTGGTCAACACCAGACTCTCCAGGTCCCAGACATTGCCCATCAGCCCCACCAGCCTGCCCTGGGTTCCCCAGGACCTGGCAGCCGACTCTCCCACTGGTCACTGCCACAATCCTCTTTCATCTTCTCAGACTATCAGGGAAGTCTAAAGTTTTTTTTCTTTTTCTCTTTCTTTTTATTTTTTTCTGTGGTACTGGGGGATGTAACCCAGGGCCTCATACATGCTAGGCAAGCACTCTACCACTGACCTACATTCCTAACAAGATGACAAAATTCTTTTTCTTTCTGGTCCTAGGAATTGACCCTAGGGCCTTTGCACTGAACTGTATCCCCAGGTCCATTTATTTATTTAAATGTATTTCTTAATTTAAATTTGTGACAGAGTCTGGTTAAATTATCCAAGTGGAGCTCAAACCTGTGACCCTCTTGCCTCAGCTTCACAAGTGACGGGGCCACAGGTGTGTGCCAGATCTGATATGGTCTTAATTTCTTAGGGACTTGCATGGTCCACTAGGAAAACACCAGACCTCAGATTCTAAAGTACCATTAACTTTACGCCAAAACCAAATCGTTATTTTGCTGCACTAGTGAGCAGAGCTAAAGCCATTCAGTCCGACTTCCAGCACCTCTTCCATAGGTGCCCTGCTTCCCGCCCGCTGCTCCCCACCCGACCTCCAGGTACTGTTGCTCCCCATGCCACACTTCTGGGTATGGGAAGTGATAAAGGAACCTCCCTGGGCCGGGGATGTAGCTCAGTGGTTTCATCACCTGCTGCGCAAGTGCAAGGACCTGAGTTCGATCCTCGGAACCAAAAAAAAAGGAACCTCCCTGAACCCATGGGGGCTGTCACTTTCTGGTGAAGCCACGTAGGGCTGGAGACAGCGTGAGCCTGTGCAAGGCCCAATGAGCCAGCTGCTGCCACTCATGCAGCACTTGGGTCACTTACCATTCCGGGGATCCAAGTGCTGTTTTGCAGAGCACGCCTCCCCCTTGATGTCGCCTGGCACCTCCATGCCCAACTTGTGATAGAACTCCCTCTGTTTCCTCATTTCCGCTATTAAAAATAAGAGATGATGTGTTATATACATGTACCAACTCCCTGTGATGAACGTAATCACTGTGTACTGCAAACATACACTTAAAAAAATTTAAGCCTTAATTTTCAACAGACAAGGAATTGTAGTAAAGCTCTGTTCACAAACATCATACAAAGGAGGCTGAAGGTTTGGATTACAAAGTTCGAAGGCTACTACTAGCATGGAAGAAGTGCAATGTAAACACTTGGATCTGGCATGGTACACAAGGAGCCACACCACAGGCTTATAGGAACACTGAGGTGAGATGCTGGCACTAAGTGTGAGAATCTGTGTGGACAGACAGGCTCTGTATCTGCTAGACCCTCCTAGGACTGTGATAGCAACCTCCTCAGCCACCTACGTCAGGGACCCTCAGACGTCACTGCAGACAACAGCAGCTGCCAGAGGACTCAGGTGCCCTGGACATCCCCAGGGCAGCCAGGCAATCCCAACATGCTGTTTGGTCCCTCATCATCTCTGCAGCCATGACAGGCAACAACTCTGAGCTGCCTGGTACTGGTCTGCTAGGGTGATGCCCAGGGCAGCCATCGCATCCCAGGAGCCTGTACCTGTGAGCCAGGATTGTGGATGCTAACAAGCTTCCTGTGGGGTGGACTGGAGGGTGTCTGTGTCTGCCAGCAGTGAGTTAACAGTGCCCCCTGGTGTCTACGGCCAGCAGTCACAGCACGATAGTCCGAGGGAGGAAGTAGAGGGACAGAATTTCCTCCTGCATCTGTCCTTCTCTGTTACCAGGCTTTCAGGGCAGCCTGTCCTGTCCTGAGGTAGCCAGCATGTGCCCTGCTAGCTGGACCCGAGGGATCTCCAAGCCCAGCCATGAAGTGAGACCTCCAGAGCTGGACAGCAGGACCAGGCTGGCATCCTGCATACCCCAGGGAAGGACGGGTTTTGTGGGACAAAAACAGCTACTAATGGACATCATCGTCCTCCTCATCATCTGTTTATTTATCTTGCCAGACTGGGGATTGAACCCAGGGGCTTCGCACTGAGCTATATCCCTTGCCTGTTCCCCCTCCCCTTCCCCAGTACCAGGGATCGAACTCAGGACCTTAGGCTTGTGAGGCAGGTGTGGCGCCACTGAGCTAAATCTCTGGGCCCCCACCTACTTTTTATTTTGCAACAGTATCTTACTCTAAGTCACTTGCCTAGGGCCTGAACTTGCGACCTTCCTGCCTCGGTCTCCCAGAATGCTGGATCACAGGCGTGCGCCACCATGCCAAACTTCAACTTTTAGGACATGTTCTGCCATGTAACTTTAATGTTCAGATGCAAGTGATGGAGCAAAAGACACCGGCCACTGCTCAGGATTAAAATAACTACTCAAACCAATAACCTATAAATTGCTCTGTGAAAAATAATCTAAGTATAGATGACTAAGAAAGGTTTCATTAAACTCTTTGAGTGGGGGGGTACTAGAGGATTGAACTGAGGGGCACCCTACTACTGAGCTACAACCCAGGCCAGCTGCATGTTCAATTTTTACTCTGAGACAGGATCTGAGCTGTCCAGGCTGGCCTCAAACTTGTGATCCTCCTGCCTCAGCCTTCTGAGTTGCTGGAATTATGGGCCTGCACCACCATGTCCCGCTTCACTAAATTTTTTATCTACACATCTGTTTTCCCCTACAGACTACAGCCCCAAGAGAGCCTGAGCATAGCCAGTCCTACACTGTGGCAATGCAGGAACAAGGGTACCCAGGCCATGAGCTACACAGAGGAGGGCTGTGCCTGGGGTCTGGCAGAGATGGTAAGGGCTCAGCCGGAGGCGTTCTAGTGCACACTGCACAGCAAGTGGCTTCGCACTGCGAGCTCAGCGCTCACTGCTGTGAAGTGAGGGAGGAGCCGGGCAAGTGAGGCCTCCAGGGGGACCACTGCAGGCAGAAGCCTCAGTGCTGACACCCTGTTTAGTGGCCGTTTCTTTACCTTTTACCCATCAATAGAAAAGCGTGAAGATAGCAGAAATAACAATATCCAACATCAGGGACATACAGGTCCAGAAACACTACACTGAAGCCATTCTTGACGTTACATCTAAAACTATAATTTTGACACAAAAATTCTACTGCTAGGACACCTAAAAATATCCAGGCAGGGCCTGGGATTTAGCTCAGCGGCATAGCACCTGCCTAGCAAACATGAGGTCCCGAGTTTAATCCCCGGTACAAAAAAAAAAAAAAATCCAGGTAAATACTCGCTGAAGTCTTACTTGTAACACTGAAAAGTCAGAACAATTGAAATGTCGGGTGTCTGAGAGCAGGTGCCTGGCCAGGCATGGCGGCTGCAGTGGTGACTCTTCACTCAAGACTTCCCAGCTGTGCTGTACTCACTACCACCAGAGCCACTGGTGAGGCAAAACAAGCGCAGGTGTTGTCCGCAGTAAGCAAGGGACATTCAGCAACAGAATTCTGTAGCTATTGGCAGTGAGCAGCATGGGGTGTACTTGCTGCCCAGGGGCACATTCCTTGATGCATTACTATGGAAGACTGCAAAATGGAACCAGCTGGGGCTCCACCAGTGCAACACCTTACACCAGTAATGTGCTCAATGCACAAACAGCCAGCGGTGCCACTTCCTGTACTAAGAAACTGAAAGCTAGGGGCAGTGGTGCAGGCCTGTAATCACAACTACACAGGAGACTGAGGCAGGTGGATCACAAGTTTGAGGGCAGGCTGGGTAACTGATTGAGATCTTTGTCTAAAATAAAATTTTTAAAAATAGGGCTGGGGACATAGTTCAATGGGGGACTACTTGCCTAGCATATGTGAGTTCCACACAACCATCTTGATGGATGCAGAAAAGGCATCTGAGACCACAGACCACTCCTGGTAAAGTGCTCAGCCCAGCTGGCCAGCCTGATGGAGGTATCCATGGGCCATGGTGAGCATACATGTGGTAGTGAGAGGCTGGGCCCCAGGAACCAGAAGCAAGCCTTTAGTGAGCATCTACCCAGCCAGCACATGGTGGGGTTCCATCCTGGGCCACAGGCATTCCCTGCAAAGGAAGGCCTGAGCACCTGGCCTTGTGGCCAGCAGGCAGAACTGACATTCTGCATAGAAACTCGGAGACAGGGCAGAAACAGATACCCACGATTTTCTACTGATGAAATTCAAAACCCAGCAATGACAATCAAGGATAGTTTGTGGAACAAGAAGAATAGAATCCTTTTTGGGGGATAACACTTGTCCAGCCGGAGTTCAAAATTACCGCTTCCTACTGAAACTGGACATGTGAGGGTTCATCTGTCATGAGATTTTACATGTTATCATCTTTGAAAATGTATTTCCACACAGAAGTGCTGTCATCTGTCCAAGGGATATAATGTTGAGTTGTCACATAGCACGCCGTTGTGGGATGCTATGGAATTCTTCTCTTGGCGTTTGTTCTCCATCGAATCATGAGGCTGCAGATTAATCCCTTCGCTTTGAAGGTCGGATGGAAGCCCCTCCACTGCACAATTAAATGTATCCTGACATATGGATGCTTCCTTTGCACTTGTTTCAGTGCCCGGAACACCGCAGCCCAGTGGCAGGTCTTAGATCCCGGGGTGTGCCCTCGAGAGGAGAGTGGGACCTTGGAGCCTCTTTTTCTCTCTTGCTTCCTGGCCTCGAGCTACGTCATTTGCTCTCCACACACTTCTGCAATGGTGACCTTGGCACGGGGCCAATCAACCATGGATTGAAACTTCTAAAACTGTGACCCAAAACCAATCACTTCTCATTATAAGCTGATTAGCTCAGGTACCCTACCCTGATGACAGAAAGCTGACAACACAAGCAGTTGGACATTATGTGACCCAAGCAGCGTTAGTTGTTGAAGTGACTTTTCACACTGCAGTACTGTTTTGCCTTGCGATGTAAGACTGACTTCAATCAGAAACACGCTCATCTTCAGCAAGGCCAATTTCCAGCGCCATTCAGGGTGTGACAGCAGTGGTTAAAGTGCTGCTTCTCATTTACAGAAATGCCAACCTGTACCCTTGGCTTAAAATGAACGGAAAATATTAGGAATGCACATACACTTGGGCACTCCTAAGTCACTGAGATTCACGTGATGGAGACGCCAGGACATTCAGTTTCCAACTGTCAAGAGACTCAGGGCTCTGAAGATAGCCATGGCCACAAGAGTGATCTGACCCACCACAGCAGCAGCAGTCCAACAGTGAGATCCGCCATGGCCAGCACAAAAGATTCCGCTGTTCTCTGCACGATGCCTGCTAATAAATCAGCCATGAGTCTCCAACGCCTGACATTTTTACCAACTTCGCTAACTTCCTATCCACACACCACTGGGAAGGTCTTGGTCCCCTCCCTCGGGCATCTGAAAGGACCCCTGAGGCCACTCCTCAGCATCCCACACAGCACTGACTACTCTGTGCGAGCCAGGTGCCCAAGTCTCGGAGACAAGGACACTGAGAAGTCACGGCCTGGCCCTGCACTCACACGAGCGCTGCCATTCCATCCTCCTCCATCCCGGGACTAACGGTCTTCAATACATCCCTTTTTCTGGACACATTTCTCCCGCTGCTGCAACCCAGCACGCTTTAATGGACTGACTACTAGTAAATAAACCCTTTCTGCATCTGGCTAACAGCTGAGCCAATCAGAAGCTTACTTTACAGCCTCACTTTCATCTATTTTGTGATGAATTCTGCTGGGATGAACTACTGTTTTAAACTTTCACTGTTTTCTTGTGGGCTGAGAACACTATGATGTCTATCTCTGGGCGGCAACCCCAGTAGCAAGACGGCCCGACACCTGTGGCCCACTTTCTCCTCTTTCCTTGTTTGGACATGACTGGTGTGCACTGGCAACACTAAGTCTTAACAGTGTCGACTCAAGGCACTCGAGAGGCTGAGGTTTGTGGTGTGCTGACAAATCCGTGGCCTGCTGCCACAGAAGGGAGAGGGCAGTCAGGGCCTCAGCTAATGAGCATGGCTGTGTTCCAATGAAACTGCATTAAGTTCGTGAACTTAATTTGTTCCACGATTCTGAGGAAGATGACTATATTCGTGTTCACTCAGGGAAGATGACCACAATCATGTTCATCACCTGCTATCGAGTTCACAAACAGAAGCAAAACCTTGCTGAATGCTTCTGTCCATGAACTGAATTGTTCGCAAACAGAAGTGTTCAGGAACCAAGGTATTATTGTACTCATTGTACTGTAAAATTTCATTTCATATAATTTTCACGTTACAAAATATTCTTTGGTCTTTTCCAACTATGTAGAAAACACTCTGATCACGTGCCACGTAACTGCAGGCAGCAGGTCAGATGTGCTCTGTGGGCTTCAGAAAGAAAAACATAGATACTTTTGGCCTACCAAACCACAATAAAATCAACAGGCACTCTCACCAGGGTCTTCAGAATGCCTTGTCTTTAAAGCAGAAGATGCCGGAGGTGGTGGTGCACTTGGGAGGATGAGGCAGGAGGACTGTTGTGAGTTCAAGACCAGCCAGAACTATATATCAAGACCCTCGTCTCAAAAAAACACCAGGATCGGGGATTTAGCTCAGTGGTGCCGCTGCCTGCCTCTCAAGCACAAGGTCCTGAGTTCGAACCCTGGTACAAAAAACAAAACCAACCATACACATAAAACCAGAAGATGACAAGTGTGGTGAATAGCCATCAGCAGAGAACCAGTGAGTTCTCCACAATCCTGTGGCGCATGAATGAATGTAGAAGGCCATGAACAGCATGTGGGAAAAGGGGAGGTAATGCCATTATGTTGAAGAATGGGTAACCTGATACATTTGCCTCTGAAAGACAAGTTTTAAAGTATCACAACAACATGAAGAAACAAACAACTGCATCCCCCACCTCTCACCTGCAAGGGAATGGAAAGACCCCAAGTGAGGCACAGTCACCAGCAGGATGGGGAGGAGCAGCTGGCAAGGGGTGGGGGATGCGCTATGGTGGGACTCAAGGCTGAGCTCTGGTGCATCACTGCACCACCACAGGGAAGTGTCCTAAGGTACCTGCAGGTCCAGGGAGAGCCTCTGGCCTGAAGGATGAGGTTATGACTGCTCAGAAAAAAGACCAACACATGGCAGGCAGGTGGGCATCTACATCGGGGGGGCTGGGCCATGGGACAGCGTGCAGCCTTGGGTTTCCGAAAACAGGAGGTGTGAGCTCACAATCCTGACTCTCCACGCCTCAGCCTCTCCAACTTCAGAGTGCAGTAGCGTCCACACTGGATGGGATGTTCTATGGTGAGGACAGAAGCTGAAGTATCCAGGGGCAACAAGGGGTCCAAGTCATTCTCTGTCTGTACCACCTCACTCAGCAGAAATAACTCAGGACAGAGCCATGGAGCACTGCAGACTGCAGGCTCTGGGCAGCACTGCCCACAGCAGTGAAAGGCCAGGGCCCGGCAAGACCCAGGATCACTCCGGCACCAGTAGCTGTGGCTACCCAAGACCATGAGGGGCACCACAGGGAACCTGGTCCAACCTAGGCTGCCAGACACATGCAAGAGGATTCAGCTTCAAAAGGACACCAACGGCAATGAGCTGAGAATGCGTGACCTGGTGGCTAGAGAGGCTAGGAAGCCATCCATCTGTTACCATGGAAACAGGCAGAAGACTTGGCCTTTCTTTCCTACACAATGGGACCTTAAAGAAACCGAGCAGGGACACAATTTTATGGATGCATTCCAAGTAAGAAATGGAGAAAGAACAGCAGGACCAGAACAGCGCTGCTGTGTCCTGGCATGAACGGATGACAAACAGGCAGCACCCACTCAGGGTGGAAAACCACCTAGAGATAGGCTTGCTAGAAACACGGCCCATATCCAACTTGGATCCACTGGCAATTCTACCAAGTCACGGGATGTGCCATAGCATGTCTTCTGCAAGTTCAGGGGGATGCCCTGGGTCAAGGTACAGACAGAGGCAGAAGGGACCTAAGAGGCCTGGGGGTCCATTCTGGGCACAGGCCTTACGTGGCTCCTGATGGAAACAACTGGAAACAACCAAAACCAAATACATGGTACTCATGGACAACCATAAACGTCAACATTATGGACACTTGCCATTAAGGAATTACTATGACTTTTCTACATGCAATAGGGGATTGTGGTTATGTGTTTCAAGGAATCCTTATTGTTGGGACACAAACTGCAACATTACAGGTGAAACACCAAGAAGCAAGAGAGGACACAGAGGAACCCAATGGGAGCTGCTGACGGAGGACACAGCACAGGGCCTCCTTAGGTACATGTGCTGGTACCTGCATTTAAAACTCTTATAACCATATTGTTAGATCTTAGCATTTTATTTTGCGGTATCCTTTGCCTTTTCCTAGGACTGAAACAGTCTACAAATTAAGTCTATGTATCCCGGGAAAACAGTGGAGGATGCAGTCAAGGAGATGTATGAGTTAAGAGCACAGACACATAAGACAAGGACAGTGGAGAGACCACATCCCCAGCTGTGACCCTGGGCTGAGAGGTTCTGACACTTACCTTCCTGGAGGCCTGGTACCAACTTGTAAACAATGTCCTGCATGGTTCTGTCATGACTGCAAAGAAATGGAACAGGTGGAGTTAGCCAGGAATGTTCATTCTGTAACTCTTACACATTTCCCACTTAACCCAAATTTCTGAATCACAAACTTCAAGTTTTGGTGGGATTTTCCTTCTAGCTTGCAAATATTTTAATATATGTGCTGCCAAAGGGAACACTCCAGCTTGCAAATAAAAATGTCTGATGCCCCTTCTCTACTGTTGGTGGGAGTGTAGGCTGGTGCAACCACTGTGGAAATCAGTGTGGAGATTTCTCAAAAAACTAAAACTAGATGTTCCATTTGACCCAGCTATACCTCTTCTTGGTATCTTCCTGAAAGAATTAAAAGCACCATACCACAGTAATATATGCACACCCATGTTTATAGCAACACAGTGTGTAATAGTTAAATCTTGAAAACAGCCCAAATGCCCATCAACTGACGAGTGGATAAAGAAGATGTGGTTTTTTTATACAATGGAATACTACTCTGCCATAAAGAAGGATGAGCTCCAGACATTTCTAGGTAAATGGATGGATCTTTTTTTTCCCCATTAAAGTTATTGGTACATTTTAGGTGTACAATACAGTTACATTCATCATTGGGATCTTGTACCTTTATATGATGTATCTTGGTCCTTATTTCTTCCCCATTCCCCTGCCCTCCCTTCACCCCCTCCACCCTTCCTTATTTACAAAGACTTTGTTTCCGTTTTTTCCTTTTCTCACATTTTTTCCCCTTCTTTCCTTTCCCCTACCCCTCCCACTTCCCCTGCCCCTTTAGATCTTTTCTTCCTATTTCACATTATCAACTATACATTTTGATCCTTATTTACACTTTTGTTTTTCACACCACAGAAACTGTTCAGTATTTACACGTGTGTCCTATTTATTTCACTTAAGAGTATGGCCTCAATGTGCATCCATTTAGCTATGTCTCTAGTTTCTTATTCTTTATGGCTGAGCAGTACTCCATTTTATTAAAAAACCATACCTTTATCCAGTTTCCAACTTGGGCTGTTGCCAAGCTTTAGCTATTACAAACTGTGCTGCTATAAACATGGGTGCGCATGTATCACTGTGGTATTAATTTTTTTGGGGGGGTACCAGGATTGAACTCAGGACCTTGAGCTTGCAAGGCAGACGGTGGAAACACTGAGCTAAATCCCCAGCCCCATCTTTTAATTCTTTGGGGAAGATACCCAGTAGGGGAATAGCTGGGTCAAATGGGACCTCTAGTCCTAGTTCTTTGAGGTATCTCTATACTGATTTCCACAGTGGTTGCACCAGTCTGCACTCCCATCAACAATGGAGAAGGGTTCCTTTCTCCCCACAACCCCAACCAGCATTTGTTATTGGTTGATTTCTTGATAGTAGCCATTCTTTCTGGGGTGAGGTGGAATCTCAGTGTTGTTTTCATCTGCATCTCTCGAATGACCAGTGATGTTGAACATTTTTTCATGTTTATTTGCTGCTTTTATTTCTTTGCCTGAGAAATGCCTGTTCATTTCAGATGCCCATTTTTGAATTGGGTCTTTATATTTGGGGGGGGTTCTGATTTTTTTAAGTTCTTTATATATTCTAGATAGACCTCTGTCTGAGGAACAGCTGGTAAAAAATTTTTCCCACATTGTAGGCTGTCTCTTAGCTCTGTTAGTGGTTTCTCTTGCAGTGCAGAAGCTTTTCAATGAGATCCCAGTTGATTCTTTGTGCTAGTTACCGTGCTACCGAGGATTTGTTCATTAAGTCTTTTCCTATGCCAATGTCTTCGAGAGTTCTACCTAATTTATCTTCCAGCAAGTTTAGTGTTTCTGTTTTAATATTTAGATCTTTAATCCACTTGGATTTTAGTTTAGTGCATGGTGAAAGATAGGGGTCTAGTTTTAATCTTTGGCAAGCTGAAATTCAGTTTTTCCAGCACCATTTATTAAAGAGGCTATCTTTCCTCCAGTGAGGATGGTTGGCTCCTTTGTCAAAGATGAGGTGGCTGAGTGTGTCTGGAGTTGTTTCTGCAACTTCTAATCTATTCCACTGATCCTCGGGTCTGTTTCTTTGCCAGTACCATGCTGTTTCTATCACAGTGGCTTTGTAGTATAGTTTCAAGTTAGGGTGAGTGTGTCTGGAGTTGTTTCTGCAACTTCTAATCTATTCCACTGATCCTCGGGTCTGTTTCTTTGCCAGTACCATGCTGTTTCTATCACAGTGGCTTTGTAGTATAGTTTCAAGTTAGGGATTGTGATACTCCCTACCACGTCTCTGTTGCCTAGAATTGCTTTTGCTATTCTAGGTCTCTTCTGGTTCCAGATGAATTTTTGGATTGTTTTCTCTAGTTCTGTGAAATATACTGTTGGGATTTCAATCGGGATTGCATTGAATTTGTACAGCAGTTTTGGAAGTATGGCAATTTTCACTGTATTGGTTCTTCCTACCCAGGAACAGGGGATGTCTCTCCATTTTCTTATTAAATGGATGGATCTTGAGACCATACTCCTAAGTGAAATAAATCGGACACACATATTTAAATACTGTAGTGTTTCTCTTGTGTGAGAAACTGAAGTGGAAATAAGGACTGAGATGTGTACTGGATGCTGGGAAACGTGAAGAAAGTGTTCAAATGGGAAGGGAAACAAGGGAGGAGGAAGGAGAAAGGAAGGAAGGGACAGGAAAATGTGAAAACTGGGCTGGGGATTTAGCTCAGCGGTGCCGCCACCTGCCTTACAAGCACAAGATCCCTGGTACCAAAAAAAAAAAAAAAGTGAAAATAGAAGAAAAAATGGAAACAAAGCTTTTGAATATTGGGAGGGGAGGGGGATTGAGGAGGGGAATGGGATAAAATAAAACAAAATTATTTTTTAAAATGTCTGATCCCAAAAGTTATCTATGACCTAAACTAATTCATCATTTAACTTAGGTTCTAACTGCTTACAAACATTTCAAATAATGACAGCAGGTAAGAAGGTTTTTATGGCTTGTAACTAAATGTCCTTCCAAAGCCTCACGTGGTCATAGGTGGGGAGTTTCAAAGGGGCCTAAATCTAGGGTATGTGATGCTAGGATTAAAGGTACCTCACCCTGGTATGGGTGGCACCAATCAGTAGCCTTTGGACACCTCTCAATGTCCACCCCACAGGCCACGCTGGCTATGGGGCTTCTCCTAGGGATGACAGTGTGAGCAGGAGACTCATCAAGGAATCAGAGAGCACACAGAGAGGCATGCTGGTCACAGCAAGGAAAGCTGGAGGAACAGGACCCAGCGGTGCTGTCTGGGAAGCAGGAGGGCTGCTGAGAGATGGCTGCTCCCACTTGTAACCTAGGCCCTTTCTCTGTGGGGATCCTGCACTGTTCATGTGCCCCTAGGTCATGTATGACACCTTGTACAACTGCAGAGTACGAAGCTTGTCTCCAGACTTCTCCCTGCCTCCCCTGAGAGGTGTGGGGGCATTTCATTTCCTGAGTGGACCCCTCCCTGAAGCTCTGCATGAGAAACACAGGCTCCGCTGGGCAGCCCTTCAGCCCTGTGTCCTGCCTCCTGCCCAGGGCCACAATGCTCCACACAAAGGTACGTCCAGGACTACCTTCTGCTTCTAACCTGATGCAGTCAGTTCAGTGCAGCCCTGAAGTTCCCCTGGGGCCTAGCTCACACCTGCTGCCCTTTGGGCAATGAACAGTGTGCGGTGGCTGGGAATACTCACCCGATGTACTGCAGTGGGTGGCTCTGGTGGATCACGATCCTGCAGGTGGGGCAGGTGTTGTTCTCCTCCAGGTACTTCACCAGGCAGCTCCTGCAGACTGTCAGTGCACCCAGATGAGGGGACCGCATGGAGATGGAGCTGGGACCCTGCACCCACTGACTCCCGCAGCAGCTGGGAGCACATTCTACCTCATCCAGTGCACATCTGGCTACCCCCACACAGGGCCCCAGCTCCCACATGCAGGTTCTGAATGTGCCTAGGTGCCCCACCCCCACTTGACCCAGGTTTGGGGGCTACATGGGAAGGGGACAGAGATGAGGCGACAACCAAAGGGTGAAGGGCCGTGAAGCCACCAGAATACAGCTACCATTTAAATTTTTCATTAAGTTGACCTAAAAGATTACATTTTCTTTGTGCAGCAAAACTAGGTAAATATCAATGAAAGTCACCTAAAAAAAGTATGCCTGCCAGTTTCTACCAATACAACTAACTTTAAAATAAAACTTCTATCAAAATTGGCAAGTATTTTCTAAGGGGAAAGTACAAAATTGGAAATCATTTGTACTCTGAATTCACTTTGACAAGGTGCTCCAGGAGGTCTCCTGGTGCATGACCTCTGTCTGTCATCAGCAGCCATGTCCCATCCCAACAGCACCCACCTGCTGTTCCCACACAAGCTGAGAGCCCAGATGGTCAGAACGGGCCATCAGGTACGGTAAGAATCAGCAGATCCCTCTGTCTGAAAGATGTGAGGACTTTACTCCAACTTAAGACACAGCCATGTCTCCCTGCCAGGCATGAACACTTTCTCTCAGGGGCTGGTGTGCTGATCACAGAAAGCTGCTTCCTGCATTAAATGCTCCTAAAGAAGCCTCACTCCAGGGAATTGCCATGGCATTTTTAGTTTGAAGTAATTTTTCCAGCCCTGCTGCCCTCATGCCTAGGCTGAAGCTGCTGGGAAACAGGACAAGCTGCCCTCACGACCATGGCTGGCCGGACTACCGACCATACTTACATGTGTGCAGGCACTCTGTCACTGTTGTGGCGTCGATGAGGTACCCGCTGCACAGGCGGCAGGTGATGTGGGCATTTATGTCCCAGAGCTTGATCTTTCTAGTCAACATCTTTGGCTTCTGCAAGAGAAAGACGCACATTAACTAGCAACACCCACCTGCTGCTAAGTGTGCTGGCCAAGGCTCAGGTGTGGCAATGGCCCCAGCACATGTGTGAGCCACTTGCACTGAACCCACTTCTGCAGCTGGAGGACATGGCCCACGGCCAAAAATCACGCTGGACTGAGATGACCCCACCACAGTCCCCAAGGCACATGGCAGCCATGGGGGAAGCGCCCTGCCCTGGCTCCCAAACCTGTTCCTGAGGGTCTCCGGCATCTCTGTTCCCACATCTTCCTCCCCATCCCACTGAGGATGGGTTAGCCAGGCTCAGTGGCAGGGGACTTTGTGGAGCAGAGGAAGGCAGGCAGAGAAGGGCCTGGCGCTGGGGATACAGGGCTGGACTGCTGGGACACCAGGAAAGGGGAGAGCCCACTCAAGCAGCCGGGGTGGAGGGGCTGGGGGTAGGGCTGCCTGGTAAGAGCACAGAAAGGGATCTTAGTGATGTACTGAACACTTAACAGTGACTCAAGACCCACACACAGCAGAGACCCTGCAGACGGAGCCCCCTTGCCTCCCCTGGGTAGTAGGTTTGGCGGACAGAGCCCCCTTGCCTATGGATAAAGACCCAGCCGGGCCTTACCTCCTCTGGATGTCTGCGAGTTCCTCCTCCTGCCGTGGCATGGAGGCTTCAGGCCACCATGCGGATGTGATGCCTCCACACGCTGCTCTCTGGTTCACTTCTGCACCTTCCCTCTGGCCCTTGCCCTCTTTCCATTTTCTAGCAGAAAAACAACACTGTTACCTCGGTCATGGCACTGATGTGGCCCTTGAATAACCCTGCCACCCATCCCCTCCCTTTGGAGTGCTGAGATGACTCCACAGCCCTGTCTGAAACACAAGAGGAAAACCAGGTACAAAGAGCTCCAGCTAGTGCTTGAAGATGACGTTCCCAGGACCTTCTCCACAGCTCCAGAACTCGCACCAAGCCTCACACTCAGCACACCACATCAGTTCCCAGCCACTGAAGGAAGGAAGGCCCTGCCCTGCACTCACCTGCACGGGAGAGCTGGAGTCCCGGCTACATGGTGAAGCCTGTGGGGAAGGAGACCAGGTGTCACCACGGGAGGACGCAGGGCGCCTTCCCGCAGCTCTGCACCTTGCCTGCTGAAGCATACTTGCTCGTTACTTGTGCAAAACAGGTGAAGGAGAATGAGAATTAGCCATGGCGAGGAGACTATCATGGAGACACCGCGCCGTGTTCCCAAACCCAGGTCAGCCCAGAAGCCACTGAAAATGAGAAGCAGAAATGCAGGCCTGGGGGGGGGGGGGCTCTCTCATCACCTGTGTGTC